TTCTAAACCATTTTGAAGAGCTCAAAAAAACAAAAAATTTAGTATATTGAAGCATTGTTGCATGCCTAACGGTTACGGAAAAATCACAAAATAATGTAAATTTAAAATTACCATGTTATTCTTATGGAGAATAAATACAGAGTTGTAGCTTGCTTGTGTATGGACATATATTAATGAAATTTTGAAATTTTGTTTACTTCATACTACTGAGCTATTAATATTTCAATAAAACCCCCCTATTTTCTTCCCTGTAGCAGCAAACCTAAGTACTCATTAATATTAATGATGTTTAAATAGGAAATAAATCTGACAATTTTAAGGGAATAATTTAGTGGAATTCCAGCTGTGTATATGGAAATTCGCTTAGTCTGCAGGTTTGTTGCGGCGGGGGTATTTAGTATATTAAATTATCCAGACTCCCTCGCTTTTTTTCATTGTAATATTTACGCCAATCCAAATTCAAATAGTAAATATTTATTTTCAACTAACTCGGTAAAAGTTTGTAGCAAACTCTTAAATTAGCAAACTTAGCCTATTTAAGGCAGCACATAATTGATAAGAAGTTTCAATTTCTCAGATTCATTTGCTTCTGTCACTTCAACAAAATTTGTTAATGTCCTGGGCCAATGATTTCATTCCATTGCTGCTGTTTAGGAGTTTGGACTGTTTTGGAAGGTTTTGGAGAAGCAAAATGTTTTTCTATGATTCAAGATATTGTTCTAAAAAGTTAGTTGTTGGATAGTTAAGATTGTTTGTCTTGAATGAGTAGGCTTTATATAACACAATGCAAGTAATGAAATTCCCTAACCTTCTCCTCAAGAAGGCTCCCCCAGTCCTCATTACCCTGCTCACCACCCTCTACACCTCAGTGCTTCTTCTAGGATACTCCCCCAAGGCGTGGAAGCACGCACACGTCATCCTCTTCCCCAAACCCCACAAAGACCATCGCAACCCGTCTAACTACCGACCCATCAGTCTCACGTCAAAACTTTCCAAGCTTTTCGAGAAAATTCTGTCAACCAGGATCCATATCTATCTGAACTCCCTTGGCCTCCTCCCAAACACCCAAGCAGGCTTCCGTCCCAGAGTCAACATGTGTGATCAACTCCTGTGGGTCGTCACATGCCTCCAAACAAACATTCCCTTCACCGCCCAACTATCCTTGCCCTCATGGACGTCCAAAAGTCTTTTGACACCGTCTGGCACGATGGGCTCCGTGTAAAACTCCTGAACCTCCCCATTTCATCCCTGCAGTCATGCGGTGGATATCCCACTTCCTCAGCGGCCGAACTGCCCAAGTCCATCATCGGGGTGCCCTCTCCACTCCATTCACCCTCCATGCCGGGGTCCCGCAAGACTCGGCAATCAGCCCTCTCCTATACATCCTCTATGTCCGGGACCTCCCGTCCCCAGTCCCGAATGGCCCCTCTGACACTTCCTGTGGTCTCCCTCAGTTCGCTGACAACACTGCGTTCTGGACCTCTCACCGGCGCCATGACACCCTTATCCACCTGACTACAACCACCCTCCAAAACTACCTCTCCTACTGCCTGAAATGGCGTATCACTATCAACGCCGCTAAAACCCAACTTTCCAACTCCCGTAGATTTCAAAGAACAAAATCTGAGCCCATTCATCTCAACAACGTCCGTCTGTCCCTCAAGAAATCCTGCACCTACCTCGGAGTCAAGCTTGACTCCAACCTTTCCTTTGGTCCTCATCTCTGTGAAGCCAAGAAACAAGCCACTACCCGCCTTCTTGCTCTCCGAGTCCTAAACAACCGCCGCCGCTCCTGCTTTACCTCGACGCTCAGGCGTCTGTACTCCTCCGTAATCCGTCCTGTCCTCACCTTTGCCAACCCTATTCGCTTAACAGCCCCTGAACGCCTTATCTCCAGCTTGGAAGCTACTGAGAGGCGTGCCTTGAGGATAGCTTCCCACCTCCCCCCTTGGACCAGAAATAAGGATTCCTACACTGCCCACTCCATTCCACCTTTAGGGAATTTCCTCAAACACCGTGCCCGCACATCCGAGATGCTTTAAAAATTTTTCCAGCCCTACTTCACCAATCGCCCAAGCCTCAGCATCACCCATCTCGCCAATCCCCCTGATTAATAATCCCCTGACACATGCAACCAAACCATAAACAATGCCTGTCGTGGACCAAAACCTCAGTCTATCCACAGTTTGCAATAGACAATAGTGTTTAGTTTAATACGTTGTGTGTTTCTGTGTAGAATAGTATGTTCAAAGAATGGTGTTACCCTGTTAATGAGTTTGGTATATGTTGTTGTATTATTAAATTTAAGTTAAACCCCCCCCCCCCCCCCCCAATACTTATGATAATAAATAAACTCACAACACCCAACCCAACCACGACCAAAATACCCTGCCCGAAAACCACAACCCAACTGTACACCCATCCTCAATAACGCATAAACCACTCAACCCAACCACAACCAAAAGATAGAGATAAAAGGTCAAACCCGTAACGACACAACAGTTCTACTGAACTACACTAACCGATGATTACTAAATGCGTTCATAGTTAAGTTACCGGTAATTCCTAAATTAATGAAACTGTGGTGGTTACATGTATGACAGAAAATGGATAGGTAAGAGAAAAGTAGAGATGAGGTCATAGGAAACAATAACAGCAATTGACAATGCAGTCATCAGTTTCATTTGATTAGGGTCTTCGGTAATTGAACCCTAGTAATCGCTCAGTCCCAGGACATCCAATTGTCTAATCAGCAATCTTCAGCCATCCGAACAAAGCCTCATTGTTCATTTTTGAAGATACCGGTAGTAGAACAATGAGTTCTTTTAGTCTTTAAACCATTGTTAGCTTCTAAACTAAGTCAAAAACTTTGGTTAAACCGATTAAAACCATACTTCATACTAATATATAAGATGAAAGTTTGTTAGATTAGTTCGGGGCTCAATCACGCATTAACTAATGGGCTGAAATTTGTCACGATGATGGCTCATATTTCCCATTAACAAATGCTTACGGTACTCCAAAACCATTTGGGGCTTCGCGCCAATAGCTCTGACGTTCTCTATGTTAATCTTATGGGTAATCATGTCAAAAAATAAATCAAAGAATTTTATATCAACCATTTTAACTAAACAAATAAATTGGGTTTTTAGCCTATCTGATGTTAAATTGCATTACCGTAAACAGTAAGGCTACAAAGTTTAACAACAAAGTCCACACTCTTAATTTTTTTATTAAAAAAATATAAACAGCTCTAGATAATGACTACACAGAATAGACACAAGAGAGCAGTTTTATAGGAACTTCTGGACTATGAATAACTATTTTCAAAACCGTAACAGAGTTAAAAGGCATCATGGGACCGCAGTAAAAAAAAGTTAATGTTAAAAAAATAGCAAACTGCCAAGAATCCAGTTGTGTCACATGTTGTTTGCATTGCTGCACAAGGTTGTACACCCCCCCTTTTCTTCACTAACTTACTCCCCAGGTAGGTACATGATATTGATACTGTCGTCCGTTAAAAAGTCCTCTATCTGGTGACATTATCGGTAATATAGTGGCCGAATTTTACCGCAAAACGGCCAGCAATAGATTTTATCAGGCCCGCACACTACTTATTGCTGACTTTACCCCCCCCCCCTTTTCTTCAACAACTTACTCCCCAGGTACATGATAACCTGTTGATACTGTTGTGTCCTCTGTCTGGTGACATTATCGGTAATATGGTACGCAGTCTAATCTATCTGCTAAACGGCCAAGAATAAATTTTATAAGGCGCACACACTACTTGTTGCTGAGTTATTGCCAGGGTTCACACAACTTATTTCATTCGATAGCCTATATTAAGTGAGATTAAGTACTAATGAAATTATAGATACCTATATTGAATTATATATAACTTAGGCCTATAGGCCTATTGATAATTACCATAATTACCATAATTACCATCCTCTTGACCGTTGACCATTTCTGGATAGGTCGCGTCATTAATGATACAAATATCATAAAACTCACAAATAAAAAATACTTCAACATATAATTATTAATAATTAACTTGAGTGTCAGGCGGCATAAAAAAATATTAAAAAACTAACTGGGCTTTGAAGTAATCCTCCAAGGAATAAAAGCTCTGTTGGCAACACCACGACTTTAACTTCTTTTTGAACAGTTTCGGCTCCAGGTTCTTAATGTTCTCAGGCAGTCTATTAAACATTTTACAAGCCAGTAGTGGGAAACTGTCCTTCACTTTAGAAGTGCGGCATCTGGGAATAGAGATCAGGTTGTTGTTTCTCAGATTGTGACCATGAAGCTGCCCTCTTATTTGAAAATCAGCTAAGTTCTCTTTTACGTAGAGGAGGGAGCTCAACACGTAGTTCCCATAGACTGTCAGGATGCCAAGCTCTTGAAATAAAGGTTTGCAGTGTTGCCTATACTCAGCCCCTGTCATGATCCTCAAAACCATCTTCTGGTACAGGAGGACTCTTTCACATGCTGCAGAGTGCCCCCACTACTATTTACTATTACTAGACTTGGAAAAGTAGAGTGCCCCCACATGCCCCAGAGTGATACTTTTCATTTGAATGAGTGTAGGACGTTAATTAAAGTGCAGCCAGGCCTAGACATAGCCTAAGAACTTGGGTAATTATAATTTATAGCATTAACTTATGGTAGGCCTAGCCTACTTCGATGAGTGTATTCAAAGTAGGCGTAGGCCTATTATGGAGCTTAGGCCACAACTAGAAAACATGTTTTCTCATGCATACAGTTTAATTTATTCGAACGTCTTTAAAATAACTTATCAAGATGCAATGATGAAAAGTAAGCTACAAATAGGCCTAGGACTTACCCTAGTTTTGACCTTTCAAAATGAAAATAATTTCCACAAACACTCAGTAAGTTAAGGACAGTCATTTTATTTTTTTAAGATACTCTTACGTAGGTTTTGTTGGAAAGCTTAACCAGTAGCCTACAGTATACAACAATATAACAAGGTCACGTACCTGTAGAAGCAAAGATTCCGCTGTATGGTATTAATATCCAGAAAACAGGGATAACCCCACTAAATAAATTACACATTTCCTTAACACAATGCACTGCACAGGTGATTTAGTGTGATGTTAAATTGTTTTAAAATTATAATCAAACCAAAATTTGCTCAAGATCACAAGAATGTCAAATAAATTGTCCAACTAACAAATTTGAACGAACGCTAACAAACTAAGAAAGTCTGAGCGCATCGATCTCGGGCTCGGCCTCGTCTGTTCAGTGTTCAGTGTTCACGTTCACAGTTCACTGTTCGTCTCCGTATTCCGTGTAGTCCGTCGTCCGTCCCGTCTCCTCCCGTCAGTCCCGTCTCTTCCTCTCTTCTCTTTCTGTCTGCCTCTCTGGCTCTAGTGCCTCCAGTGCCGTGCCTCTGTTGCTGTTTTTTTTTCTAAATGTCACAAATGTGACGGCCTTGATTAAAATTCATGAGGCCCCAATGTTCACTTTTTGTGGTTATCCGTCTTTTCTTAGTTTATTTGATATTAATCAGGAGAATGGTGTTGACAATTTAATTTTGTTATTTACATACATAAATGTTGACAATGAGCTATGATTTGTTCTGATATTTTTAGTTACTAATAAAGAAAGGATCTCTTTAAGGAAAATTGATGTAGATGGGTATCTATTCGGGAGTATTTCAAAAGTTCCAAAATCGGAAGATCCAAAGAATATATTGCCGATCGGAAGTTCCAAAATCGTAAGATCCAACGTTTATATTGCCGATCGGATCTTCCAAAATCGGAATTTCCAAAGGTTATTTAGCGGGTCGGAAGATCCAAAATCAAAAGATCCAAAGAAAATATTGCCGATCGGAAGTTCCAAAATCGTAAGATCCAAAAGTACAGTCATAACTAGAAGTACAAATTTATTTCTTAAAGTAAACTTATGAAATAGACTGTCCTTTTCACTTTGGAACTTGTGATCTTATGCCGGGTCGGAATTTCCAAAACGCTAGGCTACTACTGTAGTCAGATCGGAACATCCAAAATGCTAGAACTGTTGCGTCTCTCAGATTGAAGGCGTAAACACACGTCGTCACCAGCAACGTTAATGGTTATTTGTTTTGTTAATTGATATTTTAATTAATATTTTTTTATTAGTATTTTCAAGTACACACACTTAAATACACACGCATTCATACATACATGTATATATGGGACTTTGAAGGCATGCAGGGCTAGTGTTGGTATTGTTTACTATTTATTTTCAAAAGTAAAATAACGTGTTTATTTTTATTCTTAAAAGATGGTTTAAGTATTAACCTTGACAATAACAATACTAAATTATCTGGCAAACGTCTGAAATAAATAATAACTTATTTTTATAGCTTATGACAATTTTTGTTTACTCCGTAAGAGAATCCAGAATAAATCATTTGAAAAATGAAAAGATAATGAATTTGTCGTGGTTTATTTGAGCTGAACTATTAAGTTGTAATAGTGTACTAGTAACCAACGCTAAATATTTGAAGTTGTTTCCGGTTGTTGTAACAAACAGGTAGTTTCAAATTTAATTAAATTGAAATTGTTACGTTAAATTATATTTAGTTTTCCCCACAACTAGCGAATGTCTGCTGTAACCTAATTCAAGTGAAATTTAATTTTTTCCTTACAAAGAATGTGTTTTATCAAAAAATGTAAAATGTTCAACTGTATATCAAACATTTGCGTCTAATCAAGTTTTGTTGGAGATTCAATTTGTGTACCTAAGTAAAAGGTTTTGTTGTAACAATTTTAAGTCATGTTTGAAAATACTTATTGTTCTGCAAACTATCGCTTAATCGTTGAAGATATGAGAATTGACTTATACGACATAGTTTTTTGGTCTTTATATGTGTAAATAGCTGTTCTGAATTAAACTGTTTAAAAAATTGACTACTCGATTCCCGTGCGTTCGACTGACCAACATTTGTACATTAACTCCCTTTACTATTCAAATACTGTTTGCGTAACTGTGATGTATATGGGTTGCGTTCTGAATCACAAGGCACTGTAATTATAGATAGGGCTCAGATTATTAATTGACGAATATTGTGTAAATAAAGCAATTGTTTTAAATCCGCTTATTAAAAGTATGCTATCGTAAACGAATCAATTTAGCATTTAATTTGTTTAAATAATAGTGATATATTGTTATCAAATGCACAACAATTATTTTCAATAAATGTGTTTCCAGTTGGTGTCGTTTGAGTGCACAGGCGTCAACTCATTGTTTCACCCGTATTTAATGGTAGATTGTACAAATTGTAAACACTATTTTTTATAGTTGAAACAAAATATGGACAGGTCTAATTAGTTACATAATTATTTGAATTAATTATTTCATTATAATAATCTTTCCAGTAAAAGATTTATGCTCCAATAGGACTTACCAGTTTTCGGCTTCAACTAATCAACGAAAAGTCTAGTGTGGTACCGGTACCGAGAGATAAATTATGCCCCTTACCTATAAAAATAATCGTATTTTGCATGATAAATGTTTAAAAAAACTGGAGTAGGATCTTAAATATTGCTTTTTTAATTGCATACCTTATTCAAGTTGTTATTAGTTCTGCGATGAAATTTCTATGGTATTTAATAGAATTATATTTGTATTGTAATAAAACATGTCTGTGTAGTATATTTCTTTAACAATTAAATGTAATTAACCAAACTCAGCAAGGATTAGTCACCCGTTACTATCTTTTAGTTTAATATTCATTTATTTTTGTTTAAGGTATATTATTTTCTACAATTTAAAAACATTTATTAGAAGTCTAATTGTCTAAATGCAAATTTACTTGCTCTTATTGTCCTGCCATGTAGGTATAAAATAAAAAAATGAAAGTATTGTAGAAGAGGGTTCGTGTAAAGGTAAATTTAATGAAGAATACGCAGCCCAGTAATTTGTTGATATTGTAAAGAGTGTGATATTTCGTTATAAGTCTCTTTGAACTGTGAAGGATCCAAACAGTAAACAGAAAAATAAGTGTTACACAGGAATTAGTACTGGAAGGTGCTGAAGACTGTACAGTATGTAGAATCATTTGTGTTCGATAACTAAAGTGAACCTTCACAAAACTACAGTAACGGTAGGCCTACAGTGGTAGACTGTGGAAGTATAGTAAAGCTGTAGTTAATTTTTCACAACAAATAAACTTACAAATGTTACCTACAATTAATGTGGATCTTTGGTTTCTAATGACTCAATTTTTTACTTTTATGCCCATAACATTTATTGTACTCCCATTGATTATGGTTGCTAACTATCGCTATATCGTCATATATCGTCATTGGCCGCATTAAAGGTAATACGATAGACGAAATATGAAATATACTTACTTTTGTGACAACTTATTTGCTATAGAACTTTCAATTGCTATATTAATTACTAGCAGAGTACCCGTCCTTCGTATACGGGGTTGGCATATAAGTAAAAAAATGCTTATTGCAGTTATATTGAACTCAAACTTGGAACTTGCAATGGGGGAGGACACATGTTGATAAAATTTGCTTCTATAAATTTACAGTATACTATAGTATTACACATCTACCATAGCCATAATATTCCACCACTTCATCTGAACAATAGAGAAAAACAAATGATTAAAAGTGCATAAAATATCAAAAATTATTCATGAAATTAAAAACATAAACACAACTGTAAACAATCCTACCTTGACAGTTCTCATAGCATACCACAGTTTGTTGTTGCTGCTTACTTATAATTAGCTGTTTTCATAAATATGTTTTCATAAATAACAGTATTTTTGTCATAAATAAATAAATGTAAAAATTAAGTAAAATAACACATCAATTAATGATTATTCTGATTGCTTATTAAATACCTTATAGGCCTACATTGCTTGTATTACAGAGTCGTTATTTTATCAATCAAATGTCTTGGATTGTAATGAAATCATTTCTCGAAAATCATATTTAAAATATTTTTTTATCAAATGGTTTTAACGATTATACGTACTTTAAACCACAACCTAGCAAGGCTCAGTCCCCCGGTACTAAAAACTTAAAATGCGTGATATCATTGACTATATATACCTACAGGTAGGTATATATAGTCAATGGTGATATTTATAAGACCAATGTCTGTTCAACAAAGAGTAATTATTGAGCACCTGACATCCATCAGCAATATGGTATGTTCTTTTCCGACGAATCAATAGGCCAAAACATTGGCTGATGTGTTAACATTTAATAAAATGCATTTATAGATCAAAAGGTATTCATTTCCCGTGCTATTGCCGTTAAAAAGCACGGGTACAACAGCTAGTTATCAAAACATAGACAAAAATACATTAAGAAAGTGTTACCATACTAACAACATAATACATTGTGAAAGTTTGTGTGATTGTTTTTCTTATTGGGGTTCAATCACTCACTGGTCGGATTAGGTTGAAATTTGGCATGCTGATAACTCACTTTCCCGATTAAAATATAGGCATATTTTTTTCTCAAAACTCATTTCGTGCTCCGCCCGACTCGATTGTCCGTTAGAGTTTGGATTTGCAATATTGTATTTTACAAACAAAGACAATTAAGGTCTATATCAACCTATGATTACATTTGAGCACTTCTTCTTTATATCATAAGTTTCTTCTACATCTGTATTATAATTCAACACAGGATTTACTAATTTGAAATATACGATACAGCCTATGAAATAACTACACCTTAGAGAAACAGATTGGGCAAATTGGTTTACTTCATACCAAGCTATCAATAACATACACACCAAATTATCTCCCCCCTGTAACAGCAAACCTAGGTACTCATTGAAATTAATAATATTCATATAGGAAATATTTCTTACAATTACTAGGGAAGAATTTAGTAGAATTACAGCAAGGTAAATGGAAAATTGGTTTCTCTGCAGGTTCACTGACGCGGGAGTATTTTAATTTTACGGGAGGCAGTACACAATAATGATATCTTAGTCATCATCATTGGCACAACCATTACGGATAATTATTATTATTACCGTAACATAATTAAAGAAGTAACTAAATCCAAAAAGATTACACAAACAAATTTACTTAATTACGTAAAAATAAGTATATATCATAAAGCATTTCTTATGCTATATGATATTTATGGTTATACCATCGCAGGTGAAGCCGAAGGTACTTGCTAAGTAATTAATAACCCTTACATTGACATTGATCAAACAAAAGCCATGAAATGATTAGGGATATGCCTCAGACCCCAAATGAACGAAGGGTAAAAATTTGTTGAGTATATAAAAAATTTCATATAAATATAAAATGCAAATCAAATAATTTGCATACTACTTTTTAATGTATTTAGTATCAGACACAAACAAGAGTTAGAGTCAAGAGTTAGTGAATTATTGAGTTAATTCAAGACTTGTATTATTGAATTGGTATCTTTCAATCATAAAGTCTTTAAAGTCTAGCATTAAGTCTTTCGATCTAAGATTTTAAATTCAGGGATTATGATTTAGTTACATACATCAACATGGCATCAACCGATATACGCCATCTGCAATTATGGTGCCTTGTTAGAAGGCAATCTATATATACCACAGTGAGGCAAGCAGTATTTGACAAATACGGGAGTTAGAAACTGTATGAGGAAAATTAAGATTTCCTAAACAAATTGGGCTGTTATCTAGATACATATTTTACTTTATAAAAAGATAAGTTACTTCAGATAAATACAGTATAAACCACAAAGTAAACTACCTATTTGTTCCATAATACTTAATTCTATGTTCTAATAGCAAAAAATAAAATGTTAGCCTACTGAGAGTATTCTCAGAAGATTAACTCTTCTATTAGGAGTATTTCATTCCATCTATGTTTGATAATATTGTTGTCATGATGGTTAAATTTAAAAAAGGAGATGTAAAAAAAATTATCATAGCATATATTTAAGGCCAATACATACGCTAAGAGAATTGTAAAACTATACAAAGAGTGCTTCAAAGGGCATTTTGATACTCCATTGATAAAATACAAACAGTATTTTAGTAATTGCCTTTACGTGATATAAATTAGAACAAAACTAAAATTAATTAGAAACTCCGTTATACTTAATGGCTAATTTATGTGACAATATTTATCTAACATAGAGCGAATTAAAATGTTGTTTTTAAACATTGTCTGAATATACGTCTTAAATATGATGTTGAAATGATTTTTGAACAAAAAATACACACACCAAATAAGTAGTTTGGTTACTTTTCTATACAGATCTAAACTCGAGTGTCTAAACTTTTCCCCTGACATTAGCAACGCGGCTGGTTACGGCGTTCATCGCCTTCAATCTGAGAGACGCAACAGTTCTAGCATTTTGGATGTTCCGATCTGACTAGTAGCGTTTTGGAAATTCCGACCCGACATACGATCGCAAGATCCAAAGTGAAAAGGACAGCCTATTTCATAAGTTTACTTTAAGAAATAAATTTGTACTTCTAGTTATGACTGTACTTTTGGATCTTACGATTTTGGAACTTCCGATCGGCAATATTTTCTTTGGATCTTTTGATTTTGGATCTTCCGACCCGCTAAATAACCTTTGGAAATTCCGATTTTGGAAGATCCGATCGGCAATATAAACGTTGGATCTTTCGATTTTGGAACTTCCGATCGGCAATATATTCTTTGGATCTTCCGATTTTGGAACTTTTGAAGACCATCCATCTATTCTCTGTTCTGTTTCTGGTTTCTGTGACTCCGAGTCCGATCCGATCCAAACTCCGACTGGGACTGGGACTGAGACTGAGACTGAGACTGGTGAGTGGTGACTATGTTCTCCCACGGCCGCCTTTAACTCCAGGGGCCCATTCCCCCATTTCATAATAAACTACAAGTTACAACTTGTAACTTGTAATTTTCCATTAGATTTGCATTGGGCGATCAGCTGATTTACTAATAATATTAGTTTGTGCTTTATTATGAAATGGGCCCCAGGCCGCGGCCTTCGAATTGGCAACGTCGCAGCAAGTGGTGTTATAACAGCTGTTTTGTTTGGAAGCATCTAATGGTATTTGTTAGATTGGTTACTGGACTATGACAATATTGACTCCGCTTAAAATGTACAGATACATAATATATATATCCCCGCCGCAGCAAACATGCAGACTAAGCTATAAACCTAATGTTATTGATAAACCTTAGGAATTATCCTTAGCCTTCCTATATCATAGGAATCATAATGGAAGGAATCATAATCCTTAGTAATTATGAAGAACTGAATATATTTTTAATCTCATTCTTAGATGTATAAACCAATTTAATTAATAAACCTATCAAATAGAAGTGCTGGGAGGTGTAAAAAATGTATTTTCCAGATATATACAAATAGTGGGATTTAAACTAAATGCTAGAAAAATGTCGGTTGGCTTCCCTGCAAGGCGTTTATTTTAAGACACTGCTCTGGTAAGTGGTAATAATATCCCAAGACATTCAATCTGTTCTACTTACTTTGTAATGCAAAACAAAGACTGAAATTGAGTCGCCGTCGCCAACAATAGATCTACAATGTAATGAGTCTTAAATCTTTCTTTTTCTGTTGATAGTTGATGAAACCCCGGCATTCTTACAGGTAAATTCTCTTGTATACACTACCCTATTTTTAAAATAACTAAGTTTATATCTATCTATACAGATTACTGACTGAAAATCTGAATTAATTACTTAAAAAATATATTAAGATTCATAAATTTGTAATTTTATGGCTTGATTTCTTTTAAACCCAAACATTTGTTACATGAAACTACCTCGAAATAATTATTTTAATGTTTCTTTTTTTATTCTATTGATGGAAAGTCTCTTTTATGTGTTTTCACTATAAGGCCCATGATATTGAACTGATTGAAGTACATCATTCATCTCTATATCTTTGTGATTACTTATCTGAACAGAATACACACATAATGCAGACATTTTCAACAACATTTATAAAAAAAACTTCTGAAAACGTTGTTTTTATACCAATTGTGATGGAAGATGTCTGCAATTATATCCTTAGTAACTTAATGATAAAATATTATTAAAGACCAACGTATTTATAACACCCTTATTTGATTCCCAAGGAGTCCTGGACTCGTTGGGAATCAAAGGGTTATAACGTACCGCTTTATTGAAATCGTGATTTGCATTGCAGTCGCCCAAGTTAGATGTTTTCTAATGATTCCATTTGGACTCCTGTTTGGTAGGTAAATGTATTTTCTTGACGTTGGTAGCACTGGGGCAACAATATCAGAATCTCTTTACTGGAGGTTTCTATTATAGGCAAGGAAGTGACTGGCTCTCAAATTTAACCTTAACGGCAAAAATTCTTCCATTTTTTAGGCTGTATTCAGTTCTGAAAATCGGATTTTCCCAAAATTGGCTCGAACGATTTTGATAAAAATTTAGTATGTTATAGTCCTTTAAATTCTGAAGAAAATTGTACAAATCCCATTTCCGTATATTTACTCTCACCGCTTACACATGATAAAGGTTGTTGACAAACTTATGGGAGAAAGTATTGTGTCAGAATGCTGTTGATGATACCGTTTTAGCGAATTTCCCTATAGGGAAGTAGCTATTACCGTAGGTCTCATGGTAAGACTTAGGCCCGGGACCGATTTACTTTTTCATTTTTATGTCCCCAGAGGCCAAAAACACCATTCGTTCAAATTTTTATATATATATATATATATTCTTGAGGAGATCTTGATAGAGTTTATGATGAATGAAACATGAAACAGAGCAAATTTTCGTTTAATACAAACGTTTTCAAGCAAAGAGAAATGAAAAATGTAAATATGAACAAAACAAATAAATATGAACTGTTTACAAATAGTTGAATTTTGAGAACATATATATATATATATATATATGTGTGTCCGTGAACATGATAACTTGAGTAATTTTTATCCGATTTTGATGAAATTTGGTTTGAAGGTGTAAGGCGGGATAAACTTGAATGAGTTCGCTATCCAGCATGATCGGACCATGGGAACAGGGTTTTATGGGGTGAAAATTGGTTTTTCTCACTTTTGACCCTCAAAACACAAAATTTCCCAATTTTTCTCTAAACTTTCTTAAAGAGCTTAAAAAAAACAAACAATTCAGTTTATCAAAGTGTTTTTGTACGGTTATTGGTTACGGATAAAACAAAAAACAAAAAATGGTAAATTTAAAATTCCCATGTTATTCTTATGAAGAATATTGTAAAATGTTGTAGGTTGCTTGTTTATGGATATATTTTAATCAAACTTGACAAATTTATTTATTTTATAGTAAGCTATCAATATTTTACTAAAAACACACTACTTTATTAGTTTCCTTTAGCAGCAAACCTAGGTACTCGTTAAACATAATGTTATTTAAATAGATCAATTGAAAATCAATTCAGCCAAATGGAAATTCGCTTAGATGGCAGGTTTGCTGCGGCGGGGGTGAATTTGTTATGTTGTAGATTCCTAGTGACTCCATGTGAACTCATAATTCTAACTTTTTAATCAAATATATAAGAAAATATCCCCGCCGAAGCAAACCTGCAGACTAAGCGAATTTCCATATACACAGCTGGAATTCCACTAAATTGTTCCCTTTAAATTGTCAGATTTATTTCCTATTTAAACATCATTAATATTAATGAGTACTTAGGTTTGTTGCTACAGGGAAGAAAATAGGGGGGTTTTATTGAAATATTAATAGCTCAGTATAAATTAAACAAAATTTCAAAATTTCATTAATATATGTCCATACACAAGCAAGCTACAACACTGTATTTATTCTCCATAAGAATAACATGGTAATTTTAAATTTACATTATTTTGCGATTTTTCCGTAACCGTTAGGCATGCAACAATGCTTCAATATACTAAATTATTTGTTTTTTTGAGCTCTACAAAATGGTTTAGAAAGAAATTGCAAAATTTTATGTTTTCAGGGTGAAAAATTAGAAAAACCCATTTTTACCCCATAAAACCCCCCATAAACCCCTGTTCCCATAGTCCGATCATGCTGGTTCGCAAACTCGTTCAAATAAATGTAGGTTTACACGTTTATACCAAATTTCATCAAAATCGGATCATTTTTCTCGAGTTATCGCGCTAACGGACACATATATAAATATATATATATCTTACTAATATTATAAATGTGAAAGTTTGTGTGTTTGTTTGTTTATTTGTTTGTTTGTTTGTTTGAAGTTCAATCACACATTAACTACTGGGCGGATTGGGCTGAAATTTGGCATGATGATAGCTCACATTCCCTATTAACATATAGGCATATTCTCATCTCAAATATCCTTTCGGGCTCCGCCCCAAAGGCTCTGTGGTTCCCCATGGTAACCTTAAAAGTATTCATATTTAAAGGGAAATAAAGAGTTTTTTCAGCTGTTTCAACTAAAAAAAGTTGGTTCCATGATATTCAAAAGCATTAAATGTTACTAGGTGGCGTTCGCAGAGGCATCCACAAAATTGAGCGGAGTCGTCAAGGGTTTATATTATATCGTTTTGGTCATACTGCAGTAATACCAGTCGTTTTTAATGTATGCGTTGCGGGTCTAAAGTAGCAATTTTACTCTTTAGGAAGTAAAAATGTTTTTATCCTCTATGGAGTAAAAATAGTTTTTATCCTCTATGGAGTAAAAATCAGCTGTTGTCAACTCAGTTGTAAATTTCTATTATAAACGATTGCATGTATATCGAAATTTGTATCGATTCGTGCTTCAAAATTATTTTAAGCTACAGTCTAGAGTCTCTTCCCATAGCGTTTTAGCTTTGCAGATACATTAATCCATTCCCACACTCAACACGCTCGCCTTTACTACTTCCTTCACCACTTCCTCTACGTGACGGACCTGTTTCCCTCCCTTCCCATAGCATCATATGATTGCAGATACCTTAATCTAATCGTCATAAACAGTTCCAACACTCCGGACAGCTTGCCTTGACTACCTCCTTCACCACTTCCTACATCGTGGACCTGCTTTCCTCCCTTCCCATAGAATTTTATGATTGCAGATACCTTAATCTAATCGTCATAAACAGTTCCAACACTCCGGACTGCTCGCCTTTACTACTTCCATCGCCACTTCCTACGTGACGGACATGTTTCCCTCCCTTCCCATAGCATCATAGGATTGCAAATACCTTAATATAATGGTCTTAAGCAGTTCCCACAACCTGGACAGCTTGCCTTGACTACTTCCTTCATCACTTCCTACGTCGCGGACCCGTTTTCCTCCCTTTCCATAGCATTTTATGATTGCAGATACCTTAATGTAAACGTCATAAGCAGTTCCAACATTCCGGACTGCTCGTCTTTACTACTTCCTTCGCCACTTCCTACACCACGGACCTGTTTCCCTCCCTTTCCGTAGACTTTTATGATTGCAGATACCTTAATCTAATCGTCATAAACAGTTCCCACACTCCGGACAGCTTGCTTTGACTACTTCCTTCATCACTTCCTACATCGTGCACATATTTTCCTCCCTTCCCATAGAATTTTATGATTGCAGATACCTTAATCTAATCGTCATAAACAGTTCCAACACTCCGGACTGCTCGCCTTTACTACTTCCATCGCCACTTCCTACGTGACGGACATGTTTCCCTCCCTTCCCATAGCATCTTAGGATTGCAAATACCTTAATATAATGGTCTTAAGCAGTTCCCACAACCCGGACAGCTTGCCTTGACTACTTCCTTTATCACTTCCTACGTCGCGGACCCGTTTTCCTCCCTTTCCATAGCATTTTATGATTGCAGATACCTTAATGTAATCGTCATAAGCAGTTCCAACATTCCGGACTGCTCGTCTTTACTACTTCCTTCGCCACTTCCTACGCCACGGACCTGTTTCCCTCCCTTTCCGTAGACTTTTATGATTGCAGATACCTTAATCTAATCGTCATAAACAGTTCCCACACTCCGGACAGCTTGCCTTGACTACTTCCTTCATCACTTCCTACGTCGCAGACCCGTTATCCTCCCTTCCCATAGCATTTTATGATTGCAGATACCTTAATCTAATCGTCATAAACAGTTCCAACACTCCGGACTGCTCGCCTTTACTACTTCCATCGCCACTTCCTACGTGACGAACATGTTTCCCTCCCTTCCCATAGCATCATAGGATTGCAAATACCTTAATATAATGGTCTTAAGCAGTTCCCACAACCCGGACAGCTTGCCTTGACTACTTCCTTCATCACTTCCTACGTCGCGGACCCGTTTTCCTCCCTTTCCATAGCATTTTATGATTGCAGATACCTTAATGTAAACGTCATAAGCAGTTCCAACATTCCGGACTGCTCGTCTTTACTACTTCCTTCGCCACTTCCTACACCACGGACCTGTTTCCCTCCCTTTCCGTAGACTTTTATGATTGCAGATACCTTAATCTAATCGTCATAAACAGTTCCCACACTCCGGACAGCTTGCTTTGACTACTTCCTTCATCACTTCCTACATCGTGCACATATTTTCCTCCCTTCCCATAGAATTTTATGATTGCAGATACCTTAATCTAATCGTCATAAACAGTTCCAACACTCCGGACTGCTCGCCTTTACTACTTCCATCGCCACTTCCTACGTGACGGACATGTTTCCCTCCCTTCCCATAGCATCATAGGATTGCAAATACCTTAATATAATGGTCTTAAGCAGTTCCCACGACCCGGACAGCTTGCCTTGACTACTTCCTTTATCACTTCCTACGTTGCGGACCCGTTTTCCTCCCTTTCCATAGCATTTTATGATTGCAGATACCTTAATGTAATCGTCATAAGCAGTTCCAACATTCCGGACTGCTCGTCTTTACTACTTCCTTCGCCACTTCCTACGCCACGGACCTGTTTCCCTCCCTTTCCGTAGACTTTTATGATTGCAGATACCTTAATCGTCATAAACAGTTCCCACACTCCGGACAGCTTGCCTTGACTTCTTCCTTCATCACTTCCTACGTCGCAGACCCGTTATCCTCCCTTCCCATAGCATTTTATGATTGCAGATATCATCATCTAATCGTCATAAACAGTTCCCATACTCCGGACAGCATGCCTTGACTACCTCCTTCACCACTTCCTACATCGTCGACATGTTTCCCTCTCTTCCCATAGCATCATAGGATTGCAAATATCTTAATATAATGGTCATAAGCAGTTTCCACACTCCGGACAGCTTGCCTTGACTACTTCCTTCATTACTTCCTACGTCGCGTACCCGTTTTCCTCCCTTCACTTATAATTTTTGGAATGCAGATACCTAAATCTAATCGTCATAAACAGTTTGCACACTCCAGACTGCTCACCTTTAGTACTTACTTTAACACTTCCTACGTCGCGGACCTCAAGCTAGTGTCGTCATTTGTTTATTTTATGATCCATACCACCGTTTATGTTCTAATATCTGTGGAATAATGCTATCAGCTATTTATTTATCTACTGCATTTAAAAGTCAACAGCTGATCATATTTCTTTGTTTATGTGTCAAATACTGCTTCCATAAGGATTACATTGAAACTTTGAGACCCAGTGGGGCGGATTCCTGAGAGTTATTTTTAACGCCATATAGATGTTGGCACTCACCGATATGATCTTTATCACCATCCAAAATTTGAAAACGATTGATTCAGCCGTCTAGGAGGAGTTTGCGTATTACGAAATGCATAAAAGTCGACGTATAAGAGCTTCGCTCAATAAGATTTACCAACAGGGTGCAGCACTATTATTTTTTTCATTTATGAAAACAGCTAATTTGAACTAAGCAGCAACATAAAACTGTAATATGCAATGAGAACTGTCAAAGTAGGATTGTTTACAGTTATGTTTATGTTTTTTTTATTTTTTTATTTTATGAATAATTTGTGATATTTTGCGAATCTACCAAAATATTGTTTAGGCTCTATTGTTAAGTTGCAGTGGTAGAACATTATGGCTATTGTAGATGTGTAATACCATTAGTATACTGTCAATTTAAAGAAGCAAATTTTATCAAACTTTTTCCTCCCCCATTGCAAATGCAAGGCTTGGCTATAACTGCAATGAGCATTTTAAACTTAACCCCGTACGAAGGACGGGTACTCTGCTAGTAAATATATATATATGAATTTGAACGGATGGTGTTTTTGGCCTCTGGGGACCTCAAAACGAAAAACTAAATCGGTCCCGGGTCCAGGTCTTACCATGAGACCTACGGTAATAGCTTATTCCCTATATGGGAAATTCGCTAAAAGTATACATTGCTTGCTTAAACCATGTAAACAGAATAATCACAACTGATTTTTTCTTTAGCTATTTATATGCTTGGGAATTAAAAGGTTAATAATATTCCATACTCATCACAATCAGCAAAACTGAACAAAAATAAACAAAGTCTTCATAAAGGCGGCTTTGTGTATGATTTTATTGATAACTTATTAATTTCATCTTGTAATGTTGTAGGCCCTAGATAGTTTGTTATTCTAGATAACCTACGATTTATTTTGTTTATTTGAGTGAATTTTGTTTTATTTATGTTTTTCCACAGAATGATGGAAGATGAATATTACACTTCAATCTGCAGTGCAGCAACCCTACAATCCAACAAGAAGGGATTTTTCCAAAGCTATGCTGACACTGTAATAGCACAAGCAGGAACACATTTTTTATATGAGTTCAAGAAGCTCAAGTCGGATGCAGAGCGACTCTTGAAGATTTACAATAATAAAGAGGTCTGCAATAATAGAGTTTCCCAATATAATAGTGTTTTGCAATAATAGTGTTGAATTTGTGATGTTTATTAGATCATGTTTATTAATTTCAAAAAAGAATAACCAATACCCTGTGATGTTCGATAGTGTTTCCCATGCTCGTCTTCGACTCGCATGTAAAACACGATCTTGCCCCGAAATGGGTCACTTTCGTGACTAGTAGTTAATATACTATTTTTTAATAGAATAGGTAACTTTCTATTAAATTTTCACTTTCTGTTTATTTACTTTTATTTGTTTTGATAAATTCACTGAGTGTGTCACAATTATAATCACAATTTCATAAACTCCACCTTGAAGGGTATATTATGAAGTTGTTTATTAAAAGATCTATTAGTTACTTTAATTACTGTCTTCGCATCTATGTAGACAGAGTGGGTTGCCAGTATTTTAGCTGTGCATGTGCTGCAATGTTTTTGTGTCGTGTCTTTGTATTATATATTTATTTAACTGTTGACTGTTTAAATGAAGACATTCAAAATGTAAAGACAAAATGTAAAGATAATCATTTATTTTAGTCAATCACTACACACCCGATGGAGTAATCTTCAAAACAACTGCAGTGCAATAATATACCTGTATTGCGAAGAGAAAATCAATAACTAATACATCTACATATTTGCAAGTAATCTGCCACACGAAAAATCATTAAGTAAGTAGTTTTGTTACTAGCATTCTTTTGAGTCAAATAGAAAATTACATGTCTTTTATGTTTAACTTGAATGTCCCAAACTCATTACTTCATTAAGCAGTTTAGGTACATTTTCATGTTTAGTTTCTAAAAGTCCAGCTGTGTTTACAGCTTTATGAGGTAGTCCACGGAGTCCTGGACAATGTAACACAGCTTTACCGCGGCAAAGCTGAGCACCTAGCTGTGCAGAGGCGAGGGGAAGGGGAGCGAGAGGCGAAAAAAGGACGGCACGAGCGAGCGTTGCTGCTACTGACCCAGGCTGTGATAAGAGCTCCCCCTCCTGGTGAGCAACATTGGCATGTCTCTGTAGACACTTAGACAGTCTTTATCATTAATACAAGCAAAACACCTTAGTTAACTAGAGATAGAAACGGAGAACAGGTGGAGGGGTTATTCAAATAACAGCTTTGGGAAAGCTATCAGTAAAGGAGATGAACTTTTGATGATTTTGAGTTTTGATTAGACCACAAATCAATTTTAGAAATTCGATCTTTTATGTAAAGACAATTATTTTTGCCACTACTCTATATTGCCACAGAGAAGTGAGGAACTCATCTTTACTTCCTTGTGATACAGCTAAATTTGTAATTGCCTGTTGTCCTGTTACATTATTTAGTGATTTCATTTTTTCAACATTAAAGTCAAATGTTTAGTTGACTAATTATATTACAAAAATCACAATTTTATACTTTTCAGTGACTCAATGCTTTATTGATAAAACTAGGTATTCCACTCTTATAAAGCTGTAGATAGTTTTAGAATACAAATAGAGGATGTTGAGTTGAACTTACCAACAGGATTACAGTGATGTAAATTATTACATAAGTCAAATATGTTACCTTTTCAACTTCACCATAAGCTGAAAGGCCAATCATTATCAACTACATAACTTTTAATACCACACCATGCAAATTAAGCTAGAATAATTTATAAATAAAAATACTTTTTAAAAATAACACGTTTTTAAAAGCACTAAATAGTATAAAATAATTTATAAAATGTTGAGAAAATAAATACTTGTAAGATTTAAAACAAAAAACGTGGGGCGCATGCAATAGATCATATTAGTTCAATAGGTGAAGTTAATTGTAAATCAGCATGCGCCCCACGTTTTTAGTTTTAAATCTTACAAGTATTTATTCTCTCAACATTTTATAAATTATTTTATACTTTTTAGTGCGTTTAAAAACGTGTTATTTTTAAAAAGTATTTTTATTTATAAATTATTATCTAGTTTTTAGTCTTTAATGTGTAAATATGTTAAATCTATTTTATATAGCCTCTAAAATGCATAACCAAAACCCAAAACCTTATTATCTGTAATCATATGTTTTATCTTTACTTTGAAATGATTGTTTTATATTTTTAGAATATCTCGGAAGCAGAACCTGTACCTCTTAACCTCTGCTCTTCTAACTGTCAAATTTAAGTATTTACAGCTGACTTAAATCAATTTATATGTTTACATTCTTTTAAAATGTAAACATGGAAAATTTGGAAGCCAAAGGGGCGTAGCCCAAGGGAAATATGAAAATTAAATTATATAATATTGCATTGTCATCCATTTGTGAGCTATGTTTCAAGTTTCAAGTCTCTAGCTCATCGGAAACTTCGTTTAAAATTGATATAAAAATTTGTAGGAAAGCGAGCTAATAAAAACAAGCCCTTGGGATGTAGTCCAAAGGGAAATATAAAAATTAAATGATATAATATTGCATTGTCATCCATTTATGAGCTATATTTCAAATTTCAAGTCTCTAGCTCATCGGGAAGTATAAAAATTTGCAAGAAAGCGATTTAATATAAACAAGCCCATGGGGCGTAGCCCAAGGGAAATATGAAAATTAAATGATATAATATTGCATTGTCTTCCATTTGTGAGCTATGTTTCAAGTTTTAAGTCTGTAGCTCGTCGGGAAGTTAGTATAAAATGATTTCAAAGTTTGTACCGGACAAGAAAGCAAGCTAATAAAAACGTTTTAAAAATAGAAGTGTGATAGTGATCTCCGAGTGGCTCAAATGTTTTGTTTGAATAAAAAATTGCTACAGCTGGTCCATTGGATAGGATGTCTCACAATTTCAAAATTCAAAAGTCAATACTTAAGTTTTTTGTTCCAGGCTCAGGTAGCTCGTCAAATGGAGGACTCAGTCTACCAATGGCATTGTGGTCTCGAGCCTTCATTCTAAGAGAGCTCTCCGAACATCATCTGTGTCTCGCCGACGTACAACTCGCTCTTAAAGAGAAACTGCCAGATAACTTGCGGTCAGTGGTGTTACTATACTCAGGGGGGTACCCCAGGGATAGTTTGGTGGGGGGGGGGGAGGCAACTGATTGGTGGGGGATCACATCCTTTGGGAGGGGAGTCCTATATAAAATGTATGTTTTTGAAGTCTGGAGGGGGCCTACATTTGTTTTTGTCATAAACTACAAAATCTGACTTGTAGTACAATCTTAACGATTTCTTCACAACAACTTTAAAGGGGTGTGTGACAATGAGGTTGATTTGTTCAAGGTTTATAGCAAAAATTGCTCCACATTCCAAAATTACCATAAAATACCTACAAAATATTAACTCTTTTATTTCAAACATGGTGGGCATTTTCCAAAATGGCAGCAAACTTGGAAAGTGGAAAACTTTGTATTTTATGGAACGTTGATGCAATTTTAAGACTTATTTACTCTTCACATTTTTGCTCTAAACTTACTCGTTTAGGAGCTACATGATGCAAAATTACACCGGAAGTAATTTTTTCATAGGCTGTAACTCCTAAAGGTTTATAGAAAAAAATGACAGGAATAAAAGTTTTTAAATTGCATGTTCTATCCGAAAACATGATAAAATATAGAGTGTTCCATAAGACATTTCTAAGTTGGCCGCCATATTGGAAAATGGCGATATCCCAATGGTGGCCTCCTTGAGTTGATCACCCTTGTATAAGACCAGTGTTTCTTCAGTGAAACTATAACAGGATAAAACCATTGTCTTTTAAAGTCAATGATTAAACTGCCAACCTTGTGTTTGTTAAGAGAGCAACAATATATAACAATATTATAGCAAATATAACCACTCAGCTGTCAAGCCCTACATTTGTAATCATGATAGAACAACAACTACATAACTGATAATGACAATAGATCTGATTACTATTTGTTAAACAATGTTTTATTTTAAGTAACTACTACAAGATTAATAAATCTAGATTTACAAATGCTACTTAAAAGTTTTGATTGTTTCAATATAGATTTTGAATGCCTGCTCCATCTTCAATTTCATAAGCTGATCTCAATTTTTTCCCTCGATCTTCTTAACAACATGCTCGTCCCTCTTAAAATTGAGCAAGTTAATCTCACTCTGACCCAATTTACAACCAGGCTGTAAAGGCTAGCCCCATTTTTCTAATAACCTCTCAGCCAATGCTCTTATCAGAGTCTGAAATTCGTTGCCTAAGATTCCGCAGTCAGGTTCTTAGCTGAGTCAAAGAAGCATTCCGGAATTCACAAGCTGACATATATTACCTTTATTATCTTACTCAGTGTTTTTTACCACATTAATAACCTGTTTTGGAAAGTTAGTACAAGTTTTTGTCCCTATTCGCAAACACCAAACCAAAGCTGCATCTGCCTCTACTAATTAGTAATTTTTACATTAAATTCATGGTGATTTCATAGAACGGAGGCTTACTGGCTGATGGCTGAGTGTTACCGAGAGTTGGAGGAGCCAATGAGAGCCAAGGTTGCACTGCAAGTAGCTCTCAAGACACTGCCTCCTGAAGACAACTCTTGGAGAAACAAGATAGAGGAGGCACTGAAGTCTCTATCCAATGACAAGCCACAGCTGACATCTCCAGCTGATGATGGTAGGTGACGTTGGTCTGCACTTTAGCGTTGTCTGTTGGATACTGAAGCAGACGTTTCATCTATGTGAACCAGTATTAGGGAATTTTCATTATTTAAATAGAACATATAGCTGATTGAGCCTTTTGGTGTGCTACTGTCAAATATATGTTTGTCTGTTTCCTCTCTTATTTTTTGATAGGTAGGCCCTACTTTGATAATTTTTTTAATACATAAAAGATTAAAATTCGTTGTAGTAGTCCCAGAACTGTAATAATGACTAATATTGGTTTTATATTAACTGTTGTCAGTTCCCAATTGTGTCTTTCGTTGATGCTACAAAATTTTGGTGAGCTGCCATTGTCAAGCATACAGTCCAGGAATGTATATTAAAAATCCGCTTAGCTTCGTTGTTTGGTTTACACTCATGAGACTTAACACACGACATATAAATAAATAATACTTTTAGTTGGATAGGCCTATATTTTAAACCCGTGAGGCCTATTACGGGTACAAAACATAGGCCTATCCAACCAAAAGTATTATTTATTTATGTTTTGTGTGTCATGTGTGTAAACCAACAACGAAGCTCATATTTTATAATTTACATTCCTGGACTGTATGCTTGACAACGGCTCGCCGAAACATGTAGCATCTACAAAAGTCACAATTTGGAACTAAAGACAGGTAATGTAAAACCAATATTAGACATAAATGATGCTAAGGTTTACAGTCAAGTTTTTTCAGTTTTGCATGGTTTCACATTTTGCATATTTAACATTCTGTAATTAGCAGTTAGCACACTCTGTTGGTGGCTCGATTTGACAATATGTTCATATTCATTCTAAAACCGACACACACACTGATCCATCTGGCCACTCTTTAAAGTATGTTTTGATGATTTATAGTTGAATTATTTTGATCTCAAATCTCACTTGAAGCTAACTCTGAGAGCGAACAAGATGACAAGTTTTGCCCAGTTACCAATTTTGGAGATAAGGCATTTCAAAATTGGGTTCTTGCCTGGTTCTAGAGCTAGCTGATTCCATCCTTTCCATCTTTGTGCTAAATAGCAGTTTTTTTACATCTATTTGGAAGCTGACAAAAAAATGAAAGCCATACATTTAGTTACAATTTGACTCATGCATAATTTTTCAGTGACCCTACTTGAGGGGCCGCACCCCCACTTGAAGGGTTTGTCGTCTGCACTGTCTCTATGCTCCGATGAACAAGCTGGCCGTTACATCGTGGCTCGTCAGCCAATCAGAAGTGGAGATGTATTGGCTGTAGAACCGGCACACATTGCTTGTCTTCTTCCGGACAAGTTTGGTTCACACTGTCATCACTGCTTTGCTCGGTAACCTAGTTTTAACATTATTTCAGTATTAACACCATAAAATCACAGTGGAATTGCAAATGTCATCCATGGTCAAGGCAAGATCGGGAACATCTTCCGTGGTCCCAGCAAGATCAAAATCATCTTCCGCGGTCTCAGCAAAATCAAGAAGATCTTTCGCGGTCACTGTAAGAGCGAGAACATCTTCTGCGGTCACGGAAAGATAGATAACATCTTCAGTAGTCACGGCAAAATCATAAACGTCTTCCATGGCAAAATTGAGAACTCCTTCAACAGTCACGGCAAGATCAAGATCATATTCCGCGGTCACAGCGAAATTATGAACATCTCCGGCAAAACATGATCTTGGCGAAACCGTAAACATCTTCTGCGGTCACGGTAGCATCAAGAACATATCATGCGGTCACGGCAAACTTGATAACATCTTCAGTTCGGTTGAAATCATGAACATCTTCCATGGTTAGTGTAAATTCAAGTACATCGTCTGCAATCACAGCGAAATTGTTAACATCTTCCGTGGTCATGACAAAATTGAGAAACTCTTTAGTAGTCACAGTGAAATCTTCCGAAGTCGAAACAAAATCTTTGACATCATCCTTGGTCATGGGACATAACCGTCTTCCATGATCACGGTAAAATCGTCAGTTTTCGATCGCGCATCTTTGTAAATGCTCTCCTTGGTTATGAAAATTTGCTCTCGGTTAGGCTCGATTCAATCCAAACTTGGCCTGACAATCATTTTCTGCCCATGCGAATCTCTCCTGCCAACCGTTGGTCTGACCAGACCTGAAAATAGAGTCCTGGACTGCACAAACATTTTAAATCTAAATTTTATTCATTTTTCTCAAGTACTCCTAAGACCAACCTTTTTACTGAGGTTTATTCTGTATCCCAACCCCCAGCCAGAAAAGTCACGAAAAGTGAAAAAAGTTGTTTTTTCAGCTTGAGAAAGTCAGATGGATTCCCATGCAACTGATGTTTCAAACCCGATTTTGTCTATCAGGTTGCGCAGTGCCGTGGCCTGTAGACACTGCGCCGGGCTAGCATTCTGCAGTGTGGCTTGTCGAGATGCGGCGCAGGTCTATCACCAGCACGAGTGTCGCTACATGGACCTAATGATCGGCTCAGGCATGAGCATCTTGTGCTACATTGCACTGAGAACCATCACTCAGCAGAAGTACAAATACTGGCAGAAAGTCAGGAACAAACAACCGGTGAACCCAGACTACAACAATGTAAGCATGGGAAAAATATCACTAGCACTACAAACTAAGGTACTCTGGGTATGATTCCGTTACAGACAAAAACCTAATTCTAAATGCAGACAGCAAAATGTTAGCGCCTGACACCTGTTACGTTAAACTGCTTTGAAGATTTATGTCTGAAATGATAGCTCTTGGTAATAAGGTCCAGTCTATGACGCGGTTGTACTCAGGAAAATTGACTGTAGAAGCCTTACTCTTTAAGATATATTATTGTTGTTATGATCACCAGTTTCAGTTGTGGGAGGGGGTAGTCACAATAGATTTGAAAAAGAGTGATTTGTTCATTTCCATTAGCAAATAACTTTAACATTTATTTTATTTTACCTTATTCCAATTAAACAGATATAATAAATAAATAGAAGAAATAAAAGTTGTGAAAAAGTGTTTATTGATCAACATTTTTAGTTTTTTCTTAAATAGAGCGTTACCAGTGTTCGTATTGTCTCGTGATGTTAATATCGGCTATCGCCAGATATTGGTTCGTAGGGAGTCGTGTAGCGAACAATTCGTGGTTGAAGGACGACTGACTGCCCGGGGCGCTTCTCGAGCGGTTCTCTCCTACCGCCCTTGTCGTCGGGGTTGATAACTACGGTCATACCCTCCATATGACCACTATGTCCAGCGTTCGTTGCGGCCTTTTCGTGAAACAAATAAATTTATTTGGGATGACCGTGAAATATTACCCCACGTTAATTTTTGTCCCGTTACAGAGTTTTAATAACTAAACTATATTAAATCCTTAATTTAGTATCCAATTCATTTACAGCTTGCCAACTTGGTGACTCATGCGGATAAACGGAAGGCAGACGATTTTGTCAGCCGGACTTTAATGGCTCTTTTTCTACTCAAGATTCTTGAACACTCTGGATACATACCCTCTGAAGATTGCGACGATGGTAAGATGTTTAGAATCTGAAATAGTTTAGCATACCTAAGACTGATGAATTGCATTCTTGTATTGCATTTTCTTTCATTCATAATTTTATAATTCTTTAATTAATTTAATTCAAAGGTAGATAAATATTATGCCATGGTTAACAAAACAAACTTATTCCCTATAGGCTAAATTATCAACGAGTTTGCGAACCAGCATGATTGGGCAATAGGAATGGGGTTGTACAAGAGGTTTTATGGGGTAAAAATATGTTTTTCTCATTCTTGACCATCAAAAAACATAAAATTTTGCAAATTTTTCAGAACCATTTTGTAAAGCTTAAAAAACAAATAATTTAGTGTATACGGTTTATCATTATGCGTTTAATTGTTAGGGGAAAAAATGTATGAGTAGGTCTACAATGTTATTCTTATGGAGAAAGTATACTTCATTACCTTTCCCGTACCAGCAAACATACTTAGACGTACCAGCAAACGTAAGTAGAGGTTTTCGGACTAAAACTTTGATTTATAGAGGTACTTTTAGGACGGAAAATACCATAAAACTTGGTCTTTTCAAGGTGTTTCCGTGAACCTTTTGAATTGTAGAGGTAAAATCAACATTACAACATATAGGGAAGTTCAAGGGGAATAAACAACATTAATTCATCAAGGATTTAGAATGATTGAAGTTCCACTGTATTTAATGCATGATCATCAATGATGTCCCCAGACAAACTATCAGGCATGAGGCTGTTTCTGGGTTCTGTGTTGCTTCATCTTCTGCAGTGTTTGCAGTTTAACGCTCACGAGATCTACGAGACCATGTACAAATCCGAGCTGGACTTTACTTCTTCCAAGATAAACTACATTGCTGTCGGGGTTTACCCTTCAGTTGCCTTACTTAACCACGACTGCTACCCTGCCATTGCTAGGTTGGTAAAATAAAATGAGACATGCTATTTAAGTAAGTCTAACTATTTTTTTTATGGTAAAAGTATATTAGCTGTGGTGAGATTAGTTGTCTGTTAAATTGAATTGACCCTTGATCACACTGTATTAAGAGCAAACCCTCGGATTGGGTACTGCTACAGAAGATATACAGGGAGCATAATAAATTAGTGATAAATTATTGTAGAAATTTTCCATCAGGATTAGTAAAATACAGAATTTTTTGAACCACATAAAATCACAATCACCAAATGAATAAATAAGTGAAAACAAAGAAATTAGGGATACTGTTGGGTGAAGAGAAGGAAGAGTGGCTGTGGTTTAGCTATGAGAGATTTGCATTGTGTATTCATCTAATGTTAACAATGATAAGTTGCTACAATTCAGTGCACAAGGAGTGCTCATTTTATGGCATCAATTTTTCCTCACTAATAATTTACACAAACTTGTGCAAATTAGTAGTACGGGTAATCAGAATGCTGAGAAAATTGTGTAAGCATTTAGAAGATTTGAAACTGGGTCCATCGGTCATTAATCACAAGTGTTTTACACTTGGATTGAGTTGTATGGTCATCTGGGAGAAGGTAGTCTGTAGCTCTTCGAGTGTTGTCGGAGTGAAAATCTTTTCCTCTTGTAAGTTCACTCTGTTCAGTACAGTTAATCACTGCAAGGATATATAGTAGGAGGATGTATGTAGCAAGGATATATAGTAGGAGGATGTATGTAGCAAGGATGTATGTATGTAGTGATATCACAGTAATGATTTTTAGGGATTTATAGCTTTCCTGTAGCTTTCTGTAGAACTGGGGTCAGCTAACTTAAAGCATTTTTTTTCCTACTCATACACACAGTGCATTAGCTGTCCCCGCACCTGGCCATCACACAACCACAGCAAATGTGTTACCGTAGCTGACCTGTATAGGTTGTTTCGACTGAGATTGGTCATTTTATACATCCAGGACCATTTTAAGAGCCCAATGATCAAGGACATCTGGACCCAGTTTTGAACACTCAAAACCTACTGACTTTTCTGAAGATCAACTTTAAAAATTCTAAAAAAACAACATAACAACTGATTGCTATGTGAGCACTATAACCACCCTGCTACCTAGCTGTGTGACTATTAAACTATATGTACAAGTTAAATGGTTGTTCCAAACTTTTTTATCACGATAGAAAATGTAAATGTTTCCATTGTAGATACTTCCGAGGGAAAGAAATAGTTGTGCGAGCAGTGCGACCTCTTAAACCTGGAGACATCGTGGCTGAGAACTACGGTCCTGTGTTCACATTCCGCACACAAGCCGAGAGACATCGGAGCTTGTTGAGCCGTTATTGGTTCAAGTGTGAGTGCAAAGCATGTAGAGAGAATTGGCCTAAACTTGAAGAAATGGATGAAAACAGCTTTCAGTTAAGGTAAATTATTAATTGATTCAAATTTGTAAATTCTAAATATCAAATCAAAAGGAAGTTATCACAGTTAATTTAAACTTAAGGAATTGCACGTCTTTTAAGCCTCTTGGTTTTGAGACAGATAATTCTAAAATGTATGCCGGGCTTTGTCATACAGATAACATTCAATTGTACTGCATTAAATGGAAGAGCAACTCACACAGTTTAGTATGATGGCTAACCTTTCCTAGCAAAATGAAGTAAATGATCCAATACGAGAGATCTTTAATTCCATTGCCTTCACATAGGTACTCTTAATCTGAAAAGCCATATTAATTTTTAGAGGTTAGTTATGAACTGTGGGTGAGTGCCTCTTCTAAGAAAAGTTTCATGAACTATAAAAATGTAATCGTTCAGCAGTTGTAACAAGCTCAGAGATATTAATTATTTTTTTTAAATATCATGTTCGTTTTTGGTACTCATATTTTACTTCAGTAAATTACTATAGCCCAGTTAGAAAAAAAAAAAAACTGAGTTGCTCTATAATAAATACTAGTGTACATGTTGCTCAAAATCGAACAAACAAATAACAATCATAATTTCCGATGATTTTAAATGAGTCAACTAAAAGATTATTAATAACTAATGGAAATACTCACAATTTACATAACAGTCCTATTCCAGTTTAAAGGGTTAATTTTTAAAAATCAAACTGCCTATGTACGGGAAAAGGCAAGCTAAAATCCTAATTTTCGTTATTTTATGGGGTTTTTATGGGAAAATAACATAATTTACCATAACTTTTGAACCGTAATTTTTACAGAAATGGGATTTGTACCATTTTGTTCAGAATTTAAAGGGCTACAACATACTAAATTTTTATCAAAATCGTTCAGGCCATTTTTGAGAAAATCCGATTTTTCCGGTTTTTTATGGGTTTTTATGGGAAAATCCCCATTAAAAAATCAAAATTTCAAAAAATGAAAAAAACACCTGGAGATACCATGGATTAGAACCTACATACCAAATTTCATCGAAATCGGACCACAGGTGTAGTCTCTAGCTCTGTACACATCCAGACACACAGACACACACACACACATCACTTCGAAAACCACTTTTTTGGGTCCAGGGGGACCCAAAACGAATATATCCACTCAAAACTCAAACTCGAAAATTTTGACGAAAACAATACAGTACTTTCTCCATATACTATGGTATAGGGGGAGAAAGTAAAAGTAAACAAAAGACTTGTAATATGTGTTTATAACAACAAGCTATCCACAGTAACTAACAAATTATAAAATACAGTACAAACTGATAAACATCAGTTGTAACTATTGAGCAAAGATTACATTGAAGATTACTCGATAAAGGGTAAAATAGAACTAGTCAGTGTTGATGAGTGTTTCGTATTGGTGCCGGAGTGCACTGGCGTCAACTCAATGTTTCACTCATATTTAAAGGTAGATTTCACAATATTTGAGCACTCTTTTCGTAGTTTGCATAATTTGCACAGCTAAATACATTGAAATTCTGCTGTAATCTATATTTATAAAAGAGGAAGTTTGTATATATATGTGTTTGAACGTTATGGACTCCGAAACAGCTTGACAGATTGTAATGAAACTTTCAGGCATTATTAAGGATTATTCAAGGATGGTTTGTGTGACGTTTGGTGCAGATCCATCAAAAGGGCTCCGCCCCAGTGGCTCAGGAATTTCCCATGTTAACCTTATGAGCACTCATATTTAAATGGAATTAAAGAATCTTAACAGCTGTTTCAACTAAACAGTTTGATTCTGTGATGATCAATAGCATTAAAAGGTTACAAAATGTACCAACAGGGATTGATTGTCTAAACTTTTAGCAATATTAGCTATATTTATATTTATAAAAGAGGAATTTTTGATAGTGTGTGAATAGAGTTTTAATTTTTAAGTACGTATCTTATTGACTTTCTTTTTTCTCAAAAAACCTAATGTTTTTGTATGTTATTTCCCAAATAATAATGTCTGGGAAATGAAAGTATACAGTTAAGTCCTATATCTGAAAATTACGAAACCTAGTTAAATAATAAAAGCCTAAATTTGTTGTAAGAAAGGTGAGTTTCCTTTATATTGCTTTTACAATTGAAATAAACTATACCAAGCCATGGCTCAGTTCCTCGGAACTATTAGCATAACATGACAAAAATTATTAAATTTTGCTTGATTTGTTTAGACAGGAAATTGCAGACTATGGCAACAATCTTCTAAGGTAATTTACGGTTGACACGTTGAAATTGAGTCCCCAGTGAAGTAGACTTGATATTAATTATTATTAAGACCCATGTATATATAAATCAAGATATTGTGCATGCTACCCCCAAGGTCATTATGGTGATTGTGTAGTAGAAATTTGATGACCCTTTCCAGTACTGTGTACCCCTTTGTCATTATAAACCATAATGTATAACTTATTCAAGTTTGATGACATTCCCAGAGGCGGCCCTACATAAAGGTGAACAAGGCGGTGCCTGGGGCCCTGCACAGCCTCATTTCAGATATTAAGAGAGGCCCGCTATTGAACTTCCCCTTGGGCCCCCCAATCTCTAGGGCCGCCACTGGACATTCCTATTGTAACTACTCTAATTCCTTAACTTTGTTTATATTCATCTATTATATATAAAATCCAATGTATGTTTGACCTTCATGCGTTACCAAACCGAACATCCGATTAACAAAACTTTAAGAAGTTATTGTATACACCCCAGGGAAGGTTTGTGTGAAATAACATTTAGGAAAACTCATAAGGGCTCTGCCTCAGTGGCCTTTAAATTTCCCATGTTTACCTTATGAAAAAAGATTTATTTACATTTGAACAGATGATTACTTTTGATTTTTACACTACTATACTCTGTCTGAATTTAATGTGCGGTTGAAGGACAAATTTGTTTTCCCCTGTTTTCTCCCTGGCCCCTGCCACCACAACATATTAGCCTACAGCTGATTCATACTGTTTATAATTTTACAACAGTTGTCACTTTGTTTACATTTTAGTAGTAAACAACATTGTGATTATTCTGATGGTATTTTTTTGCAGTTTAATATTATTCAGTCTGTGTTTAATTGATTAGTGTTAATTAGAAATGGCCAAAAGGTGCCAAGACATTACTATTCAAACTAAAAATACAATTTTTAGAGTGTACAATTATTAAAAAAAGCATTTATTATAAATCTGCAGTATGACACTGACTCTGATGGCTTAAGCGAAGATGATGGTGAATATCTACTTTCCAGTTATGAGAGTGAATTATGTAATGGACCGTCTCCAGTACTTTTTTACGTCCACATTACAACTAATATTTGTTAAATTTACACCATTGTGTTCATTTTGTAGTTTAATATATGTTTTAAAAATCAAATTAAATTTATATGTTTTTACGAGATTTGTTTTCTATTTGGTGTGTACTAAGGCGTATTGGCCTTTTATTATTAAGGATTTGAAATATTTATACAATTATAGTAAACGATGAAAAATGCAAACACTTTAATATAGCTGTTACATACAAATGGTTTAATTTCTGTGTATCTCCAAACATAACTCGTTCATTCAAAATGGTATGATCAATTTGTTATGTTAGTTTATCCTCAGTAAAAGAAAATTGAATGCTTTTACTTGTCATTTACCTAGTGAGTTTAATGTTGTACACTGATTACTCAGGCATAAACAGGATAACCCAATGGTTTTCATCCTGATCTGACCTTAGGGCTCCGATAGAGACATTGACAAAGTTCCTATTACCGACGGTATTAAAATAACAACTAAATAAAGAAGTGAAGAATCACTTTTAGAATTTTTAAACCAGTTTACCACGATATTAACTAATCTAATAATGTATAGTTACATTACCAGAACTGAAATTGTATTTAAAACAATCCATCAAAAGCAAAAATGTTAGTCCAGGATTATGTATATTACATTATAACAAAACTTTTAGTGAAATTAAAATTGATACGTAGATTATTTATTGTTAAAATAAATCTTATTGTTTTATTATGTGTGTAGTTCAATCATAATAAACAAATGCTTCCTAAAAAACCTGTCTGCAATATAAAACAGATGATTGTTACAGGGGATTTCAGTGTAGAAAAGGGTAAATGAGTGGGAGATTTACCATGATAGGGAAATCATATGTTGAATTCCAACCGCACAATTATTTTAGACATACTTTAACTAAGGGAACAGCTGATTGTATTTATTTTTATTTATCTTACTTTGAATACTCTTTTGACTTATTCATTACGTAAATAATGTACAGTTTTAATCTTAGTTAGAATGAGATGCTACGACTGTGGAGCTACAAAACAGTTTTTCTGTATTTTTTTGTGTATCAGCAAACAAAGTTGAAATAACTAATTTTGAACCAATGTTTGTTTAATTAATGTGAATGGATGTGTAGATAAAAAATGTCATTTTATAATTAATCACATTGCACTAAAAATGCATTATAAGTTGTAAAAAATTCAATTAGTGCAAGTTTGCTACAATGTGGGTATAATTATTTCCCTAGGTAATATAATCATAGTAGTTTGTTGAACACGTCAAAAATAAGTCTTAACTCTTAACGAATTGTAAGTATAAAGGATGCAATTATTTTCTTATATTAATCTACTAATCGTGTTTTCTATTTTAGATGCCAGAAAAATGGATGTGAAGGATTCGTCACAGCTTTTACCGATGGGAAGAAACAGAAAGCCAAATGCAATAAGTGCTCGACAGTTTTAAACACTTCAGAGTTGGCACTACTAGTTAAATCATACAATGAAGATTACTCTCGAGGTTTTTCTTTGATGAGCGAGGGAAAACTCTGCGAGGCGGCTGAGATTTTTAGTGCATTCTTGGATGTGATGCATGTAATTTGTAAACCGCCAATGAAAAATATTAGTTTAGCCCAAGAGGCAATGCGATCTTGCTTTGCTTACCCACACAACAAACATGTGGTTAAATAAAATAAATTTCTAACAGAAATGTCGTGGTTATTAAGCCTTCATTAGGTGTTAAGAGTGATATTCAGTAGACTCCTTCTCGATGGGTCAACTAAAGTAGGACATTAACATAGGCAAAATAAGCAAATTACAAGGCAAGAAAGCTGTCTGAAATTCCGTTAAACTATTTAATTACATATCAAATGCAATATTACAAACTAAAATTATGTACATTATAGTAAAAAAAGATTACCAACTTGACATAAACAGAAATAGATTCATATTAATCTGTTAAATCATTTCAATACAATCTCTATAAAAAAATATTATATTATTTTCATTTTACTGTATGGACACAGTATTATGCTCACGACAAACATCTGTGAAAGAACGCATAAACCAATAAACGTATAGATACTTTTTGAAAGATAAGTAAATTTAATGATTCCATTAGTTTAAAAATTATCACTGAGTTAAAATCTTGCTGTTGGACAGGAGCTGAAGCTGAATACTGTAAACTGTGGACTAAACTACCAATCTTACAGACAAATACAGATACCGTTTTAAGTTCAGTAAGGAGGGCGGTGATACATATCTCCTGGAGGAAGGAACTGTGATGCCATGGAGGGGAAAGGAGGTGGTAAAGGTAGTGAATTTGACAAACTAGCTCTCGGGTCATAGGAAGGCATCATGTGGGGAGGTGGTAAGTCATTTGGTCCAGGTTTTCCATTGATCATGTCAGTCTGTTCCATACACTCGTCCACACATAGTTCTATTTCGTACTGGAATTCACCCAGGTCAGTAAAATTATCTCTCACTCGTTCTCTAAATTTTGTTAGCTGCTCTCTAAGAGACAGACTTTTGTCCTTCAACAAATTCCTTCGCTCAATTGGAGTGTCTTCAATTTCAATGCGAAACCTTCGCAAAATATCTATGTATCTACTCAATTGGTCTCTAAAAATCGTGATGTTGACATCGCGTTGTGGAGATTTTCTTCTGGGCGGAGAAGACCTCAGGGGAGATCGAACTCTCCTTGGAGACTTTGACCTGGCTCTCCTTGGCGGAGACCTCGGCTTCCTCCTGGGCGAAGGAGATCGTCGTTTTCTAGGTGAAGGAGAACGACGAGACCTGTTGTGTCTGATCGGAGATGATCTTGGAGGAGATCGACCCCTCCTGGGAGACTTGGACCTCGCCTTCCTTCTTGGAGAGGGAGATCTCCTCGCATTTACGTGACTCTTTTTACTAGGAGATCTTGACCGTCTGCGAGGACTTTTCTTCCTGGTGGATGGAGATTTAGATCTTGTAGAAGTTTGTGAGGTTTCTTTACTCTTGATTGCTACCACTTTTTCTTTGTCTTTCTGTTCTTTTTCAATGTCTTTTCTGCATTCCTCTAGATCCTTACGGACATTATCAATGGCATTGTGGTAGATCTTTATCATATCTGCTCTTCCTGAAGTTAACACTCTGCTCCCGTATTCTTGTAGTTGTTCCATATAATTCAACAGCAGAGTCATTCTTTCCACTGGTGCTTTATTTTTACTCTGTACCATGTCGATCTGAAAGGTGGATTTCATAAAGTCGTCACCCGCTTTCCTTAAACCTACATCATCCTTTACGTTTTCCTTTTTAGGTAAAGTCTTGTTTTTTACAAACAAATCTGATATAAGACTTTTATATGGTGCCATAATCATTTCTTGCAAACTGGTATCATCGAGTGTGGTTTTCGTAGCAAGTATGTTATTTCCCGGTACCATTGATAGGTTTTTGTCCCAGTACTTTGGATGCAACTTGTAGAAGTCTCTATAAACATCGACCATATATTAAAATCAAATATTTGTCTTTTACAATCAGAATATATCATCAAATTAACGCAACACTTTTAACACTTCTTATTAAGTTTACCATAAAGTAAATTATTAACTTAACAAACTCGGTCTTCAGGGTCCGACTGTACCACAAACACTTATAGCTGAATGCTGAAATTTAGGCCTTGTTACAGACAGCCATCATCAGTGTACAGCAGTAGTGCCAGACACTTGTTACGGTTGATTACTCCGACGTTGTGGGGCTAAAACGTCTTGTTCCTTTGTGTTGTGACCAAGTCTTTAGTATTTAAGACCTTAGAAGCCTTAGTTCCTGAACTATCTTATTGTTAACTGTGTTTATTATATACTGTAGGTTGAATTTTTATTAGTTCAATACAGTAGTTGCATTTTTATTAGGGCCTAGTTATGTATTCAATCTAAAAGGCACGATGCGGATAATTTTCTATAATATATTAACTAATTTACAATTTTATGGGCTCCATGTTTTCTCTGCTTTGGAGTTTTTTTAAGTGTTAGCCCCCAAAAGATTTATTATATTTAAAAGCCAGAAGATTTAATGAAGGGAAAAAGTTATGTAAACACAAATACGGTTGATTCCCACTAACCTAAGCTACACTAATAATAAAATATGCCAAATCCAAACATGACTAAGGTCCACAAATTTCCACATGCATAATATTTTGACCTCTGATCATTCACAATACAGTAAGGTTTAAATTGCAGTCACTAGAACACATACAATTAGTGGACCTCATACAGTCAAGATAGACCTAAGGTATATTACAACCAAATCCAAATTCCTTGTAATTTAAACAAGGGTAGATCCCAATTAGTCCCCAACTATAATTAAACCCCAAGAATTTGGTGTTGGCAAGATTAATTTTGTTCAATTTAAGATTTGTATATATATTGCCAATTCAAAATTATAAAAATTTTTGAACATTAAATTAGAAATCCCATCTATTTAGACCAATTTAAGATCATTTTATTCTAGAAATGAATACAGTTTTGACATAGAAATGGGACATTTCACTCAGTTCCAAGTCAAAGGAACTATACAAATACAATAGTTGACCTACAAATAAAAATTACTTACTTGAAGGTGTCGGGCGGGAACAGTTTGAATTTCTCATTCTCACCGCCACATGCAATGAGGATGTCGAGAAGTTTCTTTGCCGAGGTGTACTTCTGTATGGTGACCACGCACGGTGTATTCTTCTTGGACAGGTTTGTAGATATTGAACACGGCAGCATAGTCAGATTGAAAAACTCTACGACACTGCAGAGCAATAATCACCATTTAAGATACAATCAGGGGCCTATTTCATAATAAAGTACAAACTAATATTATTAGTAAATCAGCTGATTGCCCAATGCAAATCTAATGGAAATAACAAGTTACAAGTTGTAACTTGTAACTTGTAGTTTATTATGAAATGGGCCCCAGGTCTAAGTGTGTTTGAATAAAAATACAAATGAAATACAAGCGAGAGATGGGTGAGAACTGAGATCTCTTACACAGCTTTGTTACTGAATAAAACAAACTGTAGGCTTCAGCCACGACCAGGGCCATAATTTATTAAAAGCCCATGAACAAGGACAGGGCTGAATACAGTTTCTAATTATCAAAAAGCTACAGTAAAATAGTTTTACATTTTTTAGATACATTTTTAATGGCGTTTTGAGCCATATTAGCCCGTTTGGTAGAGTTGAGAGCGATTTACAGACGTTGAAAGTGATCAAAGGAGTCTGTAGTAATCGGAAAAGTACAGGTTGAACAACATACATCAGGAGCAATTGCAAAATCTGTTAGCAATCGGCACAGTAGGGAGAGAACGCAAGACGTTGGGAGGAATCAGGAAGATTCGGTAGCGATTGGCATAAAAGGGAGATAACATTTGACTTCAGGAATGATCAGAAAGATTTGGTAGCAATCGGCAAGAGTTGGTAGCAAAAGTTGGAAGGGATAGGAAGAAGCTCTAAAATTTGACGTATTTTTGCTGGCGTGTTTTTAGAAGATGTTCAGTAAGTTCCACATTTTCAATATTCGGGCACTGCCAAAGTCCCGAATAAGGTGGATAAGTAAGCGTCTACTTCATCTCAAATAAATATTAGGTAAGGAAATAGGTAATTTTATGAGTCTCAGATAATGGTAGCCTATTATTATGTATTGACATGTATTTATGTACAAATTATTGCACTTTTGTATGCTTTTAAGAGAATATTTCCTCCAAATAATAACTGGTGTGATTAAAGACTAATCTTAAGTCTATTTAGGTCCTAATTAACTATATGGTCAAAAATAAAGTGAGTTAGAATACAAGTTTTAGTTGGAAAAAGATATTTACAGACGTTTGGCATCCTCTATGTCTTTGAATTGCCAATTAACTATCTGATACATTTAATACATGAAAATAAACAATGGACCTATATTCACAAGATTCCCTAACACTATCACCAATAATTGGTTTACAATTATTGTAAAAGTGATCAAATTTCAAATTGAAACTCTCCCAGCTAAATGATCAAATTAAGATTGGAAGAAGCACATACATATTTAATTCAATATCCCTAGTTGGACAATTATCAGGTAATAGTGGCATAAAAACAGAGCAGTAATGCAAATTACCTTTTAATGTTATTGACGTCTTGCCGAGTTAGGTTGCAACAGACAATATCCTCGTAAGCCCCAGTACTTGTGTGGCTGTCCAGGAAAACTGCAAATGTCTTCTGAATATGACTGGTCTTTGTTGCCTCGACAATGTTCGGATATTTCTCACTGGAATGAAAATAAGCCCTAAGCTAAGCTTTGGACATAAGACTTTGGTTTTCATGTGTGTTTAAAACACACCAGACCTTACTATGGTTGCCCTTTGCTGTTTGGCATAAGTAATGGTGCCAGTCACGATTAAATTCACAATTTCACCGTCAAAATACAATTAAAAAATACTAAGGAAGTTAGGTCCTTATTAAAATCTAAATAAGTTCTCGATAAAGGGTTCATAACCTTCCATGGTATCAACCGGTATTCTACAAACAAACAAAATAGTTTCCATCAAAACCTTGCACTGTCAAAATAACATGAAAATAAAAAAAAAAGATGTCCATCCATCCATCGTTCTTAAGATTTTAATAAAGATGAAGATAAATATTTAAAAAAATAAAAAGTAGCCTACAAAAAAGTTTAATATTACAGTAACTTATAAAATTGACAACAATGTGTGATCGTACTTATCAAGTTGTAATAAATGCTACTATTGATAAAGAATATATAATTAACATACCCTATACACAGAGGTACCTTAAAAAGTAATTAATTTGTATGAGTATAATGATGCACGGAAACTTAAAAATCTGTAAACAAACGGTTATCCTTTCCCAACATCTTCAGATTTTTTTATCAATCAATAATTGAGATGGGAATGCCACTTGTGTATCTTAACCAAACGTGAGTGAAGGATAAGTGAAGAATGGAGTGTGATGGTCTGTGCAGCTTTGTTACTGACTAAGATCAGCTGTTTCATTGGTCAGGATCATTTATTTAAAGCCCAATGATCAGCTGGGTGCAGTTTATAACTATCAAAAAGCTATTAACTTTTCCCAGGATAGATCCGGCAACCTTTTGATTGCTAAGCGCTGTAACCACTCAGCTACCCAGCCAGCCCAAACCATAAGTTAGTAGTACAAATTTACAATAGCCAGCAATTACCTTAATGCTTCCCATTTCTTCAAATTTAGAGTCTTCATAGTTTCTGCGTTAACAAGTTTGCACTTCAGAAAATAATCTTCTTTAGCCTGAAATAAACAGGATAATACAACATTAATATCTTTCAAAAAGTACCGTATCCATTATATCTAATAACACAGGGTCTAGTTCAGCAGGTAGGCCTGCTAACAAAAATAATTAAGTTTTAAAATTAAAATTGACGTCAAATGATTGGTGATTAATCTTGGCAGATTGGCATACCTGAATGGTGTAGCAGGTCTCGCTTAGTAGCTCTAGGGCTCGCACACTTGCCTCTAGGTGCGGAGCATGGCCTGAACCAGAAGCGAGAAAGTGGTCTTTGAAGTAGACAGTTGAATCACTTCTGTACACACAAAGGAACCACAGTGTAGTTCATGTTTGGCTGAGTGCAGTCATGAATGATATGGGTCAAGTTACACATTTTCCTAATATTAGTCCTAGTTTTGAAATGGAGATGAGGTTATTTGGAGCTAGAAGAAAAAGCCTTCAGGTACTTTACAGAAATTCGACAGTCATCAAAATAAAATTACATTGAACTACGTTGTAATACATTTTAAACAGTATACAAAAATTAATAATAAATTGTTGTTAAATATTTGATTTTTTTAAACTACTTATCATAGGCCCCTACAGACCTTTTTTGTTGTATGAATATGTTTCTACAGATTGAAATGTTATATATTTATTTATGAGGCTTATTTAGGGTTAAGTTATTTTAGGATGGGTTAGGATAGGACGGAGGCTTCAATAGTGTAACTTATTGTTACATACAACTTACATAGAGGTAGTCGTTGAACGGAACCACCATGAGTTCGATACAATTAAAGTAACTCCATAATATTATTTAATAAAAAATACTCACACAGTAGGCTCGTTTTCTCTTGGCTTTGTCTCAATCTTTACAGGCTTTTTGAAACTGAACTCGAATGAGGCGTACAGAATTTTTAAAGCAGGAGAGCCTCTGTAGGAATGTGCCAGTTGCTCAAAAGGCGGCAGGAAGAGGATCAAACCCTGGTAAAAAGCAGCACCCGATTTTATCTCTAAATCATTTATAATTGGTCTCTCAATAAACTCTGATTTAGTTTTTGTCTGAGCTTCTTTTCTCTCAACAATTGAATTATGAGATTCTTTCTCCTCATCCGAAATCTCCATGTCATCATCATTGTCTTCTACAAATGGGTTGTATTTATCGCCCATAGAGTTGTCTTGAAGAGACTTCGGGGGACCGAAAGAAGATAAAGGTTGTGTTTGTTGCCCGCCGTATTTGTCAGTTAAAACCGGAGGTTGTTTGTTAAGCATTTGAAGTTGTAGTTGAACTAATTCTTCAAAGTTACTGGAGAGCGTAGGAGCCTGGGTAGGTGCAGGCGGTGCATTCGCTGAGTAACTTCGTGTACCCTGATTTTGACTCTCTTGGTTACTATATTCTATTACTGTTTGAGACGAGGACATTATCCAATCCTCTCTCGACATTCCTGGCCAATTATACCCAGCCATGGTGAACTTCAGTAAGATGACTTTTTCTCTAAAAACATGAAGACCTCGATTTAACAGTAGAAGCTTAGCCAAATATTAGCAACTCTTTGCATTTGTTATAGAGTTTATACAACCTGAAACAAATCAAACCTAGGTAAACTTAAAATACAAGTGGATGGGAAAAATATGTTTAGAATTTAAGATCAACTTTACTATGAGATTCAAGCAAATGCATTGTTAACTATTTTTCAGATGAAATTAAATAAAATAATTTTATTTCCTATTAATTTTAAAGGCCTACGGTAACTTATACATTTTTTTTTACCTTAGGCCTTTAGACCTATTTCAGCACACATTACTATCTAAAAACAAAAAAATACACTTAGGCATACTGTAAAAAAACAGGTAAGTTACCTAAACAAGGAAAAGGTCTATCAGAATTCATCGTCCTACTTCTGGATATTGCTTGAAGCCTATATTAATAAAACTGTTTTGTTACCTTACAATATCCTTGTTTGGTGTTGGTAAGACAAACTACATATTTTGTGGCAACTGCCACATCATCAAGTTTAAATCCTCTTCTCAGGTTTGTCGTAAACTTAAAATAGGAAAAATAGAAAAAAAGTCTACATTAAGCAGGGCTTGTGCATGGACTCAAGTTGCAATAAGTAGACCTGTTATTAAAAGTTGAAAAGATGTAAGCCCTACTGGTATAGGAAAATAAATAAAATAATTTGTATAAGCCTACATTAGGCTACTAATTTTTGAAACAACAACATTTTGTTTTGCTTCGAACTGAATTTTCAGTGTTCTGGACTGTTGTTAATAAAGTCACTTGTGTGAAGCTGCCAATAACTCACCAATATAAGTAGTGCCCGCACTTCGCTGTTTCGGGCTAGTCGGGCCGCACTGCGTAATATGGTAACTTAATACCCATATGGTCACGAGATAAAGGGCACTTTAACGCACACGTCATTATCATTGTAATATACCAGAAACACAGGAGGGTCAAACAAAATGGGCTTAAAATGACAAACTGCAGAGCTACGCTAAAATCTATCGGTGGCCGTTTTGAGGAAAAATACGGCCAAGCACCTTAATACCTATATGGTCACGAGTTAGAGGACACCTTAACGCACATGTCAGTAGGCTACCATGGTCATATACAGTCTAACCTTGATATAACGAACCTCAATATAACAAATTCCTTGGTATAACAAATTTTTTTTAATTCCCTAGAACTCTCCATAAGAGACTATGTATATTTTACCTCTACATAACGAACAAACCATAACAACGACCTTGATTTAACAAATTTTTCGTGATTTCGGCTAAAATAAGACACCTCAATATAACAAATTTGTCATTGTCAGAACCTCTACATTGCGAATTTAACCTCTGCATAACGAATTGTCTACGTCTTTCCCTTGATATAACAAATCCCCCACCCCAGTATTGTTTTTGGAAAATCTGTTTCTTTATCAAATGAAATGGAAAGGTGACGTCTTCGCTTGCGCTAACATTAGTCCGCTCCGTTTTACTGTGGTTTTACGCATCTCTCTGTCTGCTGTCGCTGTGCACGCAATGTTGCAACTGAGAACTGATTTCATTCACTGAGGACTGATGACGGCGTAATCTGTAGTACCGGTAAGCTGTGATTGGGTGATAAGTAAATATGGTGAATTGTACAATTTTTAGATAAAGAGAAATCTAAGAAAGAATATAAAAACAAAAGCAAAGAGAAAGAATAGAAACATCGTTATTTTAACATTCCTTAATTAACGATTGTTTTTATTAAGTTATCTTTAACTTGGCTATGAATATGCACTTTTATAATGACTTATCTAATAATTTATTGTTTTCAATACGATTTCTTTCAACTAGCAACACCAATGCTATAGTTAATTATTATTATTGACATTCCTCTGTTGTGATAAATCAGTACTGTACTGTTTTAGCGTACCGGCCTATCACGGAGCAGTCAGTAGCTTACAAAACTTTCTACTGTTTTGTTTTGTTTTTTACATGGTTTATGACAACGCAATGTAGTGTTTGGCTAGGTTTTAGGAGGATTAGAACAAGCTGTGATTTTAAACTTACAGTTTTTAACCTGTACCAAGGTCAATGCCATTGTCATGATTGCGTAATATTCAAGATCCCTCATCTTTATTATGCCGGATAATTTAGGTTCTACCATTGACTATTGGATACAGAAGGTTCTACTGTACAATGAACACTGTACTGTAAAGTATAGTAGCCTATGCTACTTTAATTGTGTTTTAATGAGGTCAAATCCTGGCCTATATTGACCGAGCTGGTTCTGAACCTCGACTTAGCGAAATTCCTGCAAACCTAACCTCTATATAACGAACCTCATTTTAACGAAAACCTTGATATAACGAATATTTAGTTCGGTCCCTTCAGATTCGTTATACTGAGGTTGGACTGTACCAGGAACACAGGAGGGTCATAATAAGGGCTTAAAATGACAAACTGCGTACCCTGAAATCTATTGATGGCCGTTTTGCGGACAGCCATCAATAGATTTCGGTGTGCGCAGTTTTTCAGTTTAAGCCCTAATTAAGTTAATGACCCTCGTGTTCCTGGTTTATGACCATGATACTGACGTGTCTCGTGTTGAAGTGTCCTTTATGTAGGAACCTACATCTTCCTAGTGAAGATTTTCCCGAAACAGCACCGTTTATTGATTTTTACAAGCGCGGGCACTAGGCCTACTTATTGGTGAGTTATTGGCAGTTTCGCACCAATACTTAATAAAGTCTGATTTTGTATAAGTTAGGATAGGTAACTTACCTTTAAATCTAAAATTGGTTACAGTTTCTTAACTGGGCTATGCTAATATCGATTGAAACTATCGATTCAATTAGTAAACCTTCATGCAATTTTTTCACCATCAGCAAGTTTGGTTGGTTAGGTTAGGTTGTGATAGTTTAGTTTTATAATAGATATATTTAAAAATATCGATTATTAATCAATATTTCCAATTCGATAGTTTCAATCGATATTAGCATAGCCCAGTTAAGAAACTGTACCCCTAAAATTTAACAATATCATTGATTAGATACAATTAGTTAGCTACAATGTTTTTTTCCTTGTAACAATACAGGGCCTTCAACACGATTAGGCCTATCATCATAACCTATAACAAAGAATTTAAGTTTAGAAAAACTCTTTACTTTTCTTAGCATTTCTTTTAAATTGACAATAATTTCACTGTCTACTAGCAATAGCACAGCACATACTTACTTGACACTTAACTTGACTGACGCGTGACGCGACGCGTCGTTTGTCGGCTTTTCGTTTTTATCACTTTTCGTTTTCACATTTCCTCCACTAATTTTATTACTATTACTAATTTGTCTCGACTGGGTCTCTCCTCTGAGCACGATTACTAGAAAAATACCGGTATGAATCATAAACATAAACAAAATGACGTTGTTGGCCCGAATCTTATACCATAGATAAAACATTATTATGTTTTATCTTTTGTTAGTTCCATTTAAGCAATGTTAAATTATGTTTATTTTCGGGCCAAAAACGTCATTTGTTTATGTTAATGATCCATACCGGTATTTTTCTAGTAATCGTGGCTCTGAGTCCCAGCCCAGTCTCTCCAGCGTAGAGGTTTCTAGACGAGACTAGTATCTAATTTTCCTCTTCCAGAGACTGGTGAGAACCTCTTTTTGGAGAAGAAGTGAGGGCGTGACGTCACTCTTCACTTGAGGGAAGACCATATGAGTCCATCGGTGTCCGTGGCGTATTTGATAACGTCTCGGATTGATGGTGGCGTATTTGATAACGTCTCGGATTGATGATCTGAGGTCCCCAGTTCGAATCATCGGCCACCTCTAACTAGTTATAGGCCGCGGCCTGGTAGAATTGGCAACGTCGCAAGTGGTGTTGTTTAGTGGCAGACGTCCCATATGATAACATGACAGACAGGTGACATCAGCCATTTTCATATAAACTTAATTCTCACTTTATTTATTTAAATTTATGAACATAAATTTATTAAAATATTGAAAACCGAAACAATATGAATTAAAAATCTTTATCTGTACATTTTAAGCAGAGTCAATATTGTCATAGTCCAGTAACCAATCTTTCGTAAACACACAAATACCATTAGCTGCTTCCAAACAAAACAGCTGTTACAACACCACTCGACGTTGCCACTTCGAAGGCCGCGGCCTGGAGTTAAAGGCGGCGTCGAATCCCACCGACGACACTAACTTTTTGTCGCTTAGAATGCGAATATTTCTTAACTGTATATTTTTGTTAGAATTTGAGGCATTTATAATTTTATTTATGAACAGAACAGTTTTTTTAAAATTAGTTAACCTTAATTCGATTTTAATCTTATTTTTTTTATTTAAAAAATATACAAGATTAAACTTGAATTAAGGTTTACTAAAATAAAAAAAATAAAAAATAAAACTGTTCTGTTTTATAATAATCAGCAAGTTTGATTGGTTCGGTTTGGCAATGAAGGTTTAAGTTACTAATCGCAAAAATAGTTCTGTTCATGAAATAAAATTATAAATACCTCAAATTTAATTTTATTATTTTTAATTATAAAATTAAACTATCATAACCTAACCGAACTAACCAAACTTGCTGATAATGAAATAATACAGTATAACAAAAGTTTAGTAATAGAAAAAATAATTCTGTTTATTAAATAAAACTAGAAATTGCTCAATTAAAATTTTATAATAACTTAATAATAAAATTAAACTGTTATAATCGAACCAAACCAACCAAACTTGCTGATAATGAAAAACTCTTGGACAAAAAGTTAATGTGTCTAGCGGGATACGAACCCGGGACCTTCAGCATATCAGCCCGGCACGCTAACCACTACACCACCGAGGCCGATGGTTTCAGCTCGTATTGTTATGGTAATGGCGTTCCCTCAGCTAATAAGAAGCCCACAGCGTCATCGTAGCCTCTTCTGTACCTCCCCTGAGTAAATACCTCCTCCTAGTCCACTCTAGTTCAATGATCGGCATGCTTAGTTTTGCTATGCAGCTTCTCTGTTCAATATTTAGGTTGCTGACAGTTTTAAGTAACACACGTAACTAAGGGGGTGTGTTTTTATTTACGGTTTTACATAGTATATAATGATTAATTATTATGTACTCTGAGAATATGTTCATAATAATGTTAATAACCATGAAATCAAATATTTGTACAAGTACGAGTACGGTTATAAACATGTTTTTTTTTTCAACTCTTGTAGTAAATAAGAGGTACCAGTTTATAGTAGGCATATTTATCTGGGCCTGGGGCTCAAGGCTGGCAAGACGCAACTGACCATATTCAAACCAAAATAAGTTCAAGATTCATGATTTACTTAGGCAATTAAGCTATCAAACATGTTGAACCTAAATTAATATTTCAGTCTTTTCTTAAAAAAGAAGAAAAAACACAAAAAAGTAGTCCACTGCAAACCAAACCTTATGACAAAACTGCACACAGCAAACGATGCAAAAATGTAGTGACTTTCCATTAGACATACAAAACATACATTAGTCAATATGTACATTTTATCAATGTCTGATAGCGTGACAACGTTGCAATGGTATGTCTATTGCAACAGTAATAACATAAATAATAATAGTGTTAACATAAATATTGCCTTAAGCCCTGTCATAGACTAAACGTTTGATCTATGGCCCTGTACCACGGCCACCTCTAACTACAGGCCGCGGCCTGGTAGAATTGGCAACGTCGCAAGTGGTGTTGTCTAGCGCCAGACGCCCCATAAGATAACATGGCAGACAGGTGACACCAGCTCATTATTTCGCGTTTTATTAATTTAAATTAAAATTTTTGAACATAAATTTATTAAAAAACATATAGAATTGAAAACAAAAACAATATTTAAATAGAAAATCTTTTTTTGTATTTTTAAAGCGGAGTCAATATTGTCATAGTCCAGTAACCAAGCTTTTGTAAATACACAAATACCATTAGCTGCTGCCAAACTTAACAGCTGTTACAACACCACTTGTTGGAGTTAAAGGTGGCCGTGCTTGTACACACCGGACTACCGGAGCGATATACCATGGACCAAGCAACACGAAAGTATGTTTTATATATGCTTATACTCTCCACTCCATTATAAATTAGTGCAACAGCTATCTCGTTTTGGCAGGACAGTAGTGTTGCCGATAAGCCGGGTTTTCCTAGGCGCGGGAGTGGAGAGAGGAACGCGGAGAGCAGACTCCACTTGTCTTAAGTAATTTAATGTTACTGTTTTCCTAGAAGCGGAGCTGAACACCATGTTAATCTCTTTTCCGCTCTCCGCATTCCTCTCTCCGCTCTCCACTTCCGCGCCTAGGAAAACCCAGCTTTAGAGGAGACTATGGTGCCAGTATTATAAAACTCAAAATAAATTTAAAATAAAGGGATGTTCCATGTCAAATAGACACTTTCTACTTCTCAATTTGGAGGTAGGAAAAATTTGAATCTGAAAAAGTAATAAGAATAACAAAATCATGGTATATACTTAAAACTTTATTTGGGATACATAAACATATAATATCAAGGTGATCTAACATTAAATAACTCACTAAGAAACATTAATGAGCAATACAATATTTTTATGTTTAACACTGTTCAGATAGGCTATTGCTTAAACTAAAAATACTAAAAATAAATCATCACAGATTCCTCTTCCTTGTGTATTGTGACATTTTGTCACCAACATTTTGTTGGCAATACTTACAACACCTTGCACCAACATGCCTTGAAACAGTCGAAACACATGCTTCGAAAGTAAAAACTAAACAAAACACAAAGCACTAATAACAGTAAAATGTGTTCTTAAAACACAACATATAATAACAAACTTTTGAATAAAGGAATGAGAACAACTTTTATTGATCAAATTGCATCTACTATATTAAATTACTACCAAAAATATATGTAGTATAATTAGTGGAGTTAAATAAAGTACATTGAATGTGTAGCAGTTTCTCCAACATCAATATAATATAAGTTTAGCCACCGACAATGCCTGCAAAAGAAAATAAACATGAGTACACTATATTGCACTGCATAACTATTTTATCCTAAGGCCCAATTCACACCGAACGGACGTCGGGCGGAGACGTGGCACGGACGTGGCGAGGACATATGTCCGTTCCTCGCCTCCCCATGTAAACAAATTGGTCAATGCACACACAAGTGACGTGGCGCGGGCGGCCGCCCTCCCGCCACCGCCACGTCGCTTCGGCGTCCCTCGTGGCGTATCGGAAGTGGCATGTCCGTAGTGCGCCCGTTGTTCGGACTGCAAATATTGTACTATACTTACCAAACTTCTTGTGTATAGTGTGCTTGTACTTACCAACCTTGTTGTGTAGAGTTGTTTTTGTGTGTAGATTGTGAGTTGTTTCTTCAATATGTGAGACGACATTGAATTTAATATCAAATTGTGTGAGGAAGTAGAACAATTCCCTTGTTTGTGCTAATTAAGTTGACAGAAATTAACTAACACCATTGACATTAATAGAAATAAGCAAAAACCAAAGCGTCTAGTCTACATACAGGTTGTCTCGCCACTGTACCGTCCCTTCACCGTTCCTTCGGTGTGCATTGAACACGCCACGTCACTGCCACGTCTGTGCCTCGTCCGTGCCACGTCTCCGCCCGACGTCCGTTCGGTGTGAATTGGGCCTAAGTTAGTAATTAGGAAGAAAACTGCTACATGAAACCAGGCTCAGAAATACTCATAATACGTCGTTTTGAAAGTGTAGGCAGGCCATAGAACATCTAGAAGATACACTGTGTGCACAATATTTTCACAATTTTACAATTCGATTTCACAATTTCAATCTCAATTTCACAATTATTGTATGCACAGTGTATTTTCTAGATGTTCTATGGCCTACCTACACTTTCAAAGTAAGCTAGCTGCTATCCTCCTTTTCCTACAATTCAAAATCCTGGCCTAAAGCATTTCCTTGAACAAAACTAACCATAAAGTAAGTTTAGTAATTTGCCTTGCAACAAGTCTAGTGGTCGAACTGTCTATCAGGGAGGGCGATAGGAGCGATCAGGGTCCAGATGTAGAGCAAAGAGCAGCACCAGGACGACACCATCTTGACCCACATAGAGGCAGAGTTGGCATTGAGAGTCTCCAGGGTGGAGTTGGGTCTGGAAAAAGATATACAAGTTTAGCAGTTAATGGAATCTTAAGACTACTGATACAAATTTGTCACCACACTATGATGTTTTTAGCTGTTTTACATACGTTAATTGGTGGCTGAAAGTCATGTTTTGCTGGCCATACCAGCTATTATCGTCATTTGGGGACCAAGCAGGTTTTTACATCCCTAGGGCCGCAAAATCATCTGCCCGCTTACTCTCTTAAAACATGAATGCATATTAATTACACATCTCGACTTCGTCTCGAACTTAAAAAGTATCTCAAGCCGGCAAAACCTCATTTTCGGCCCTAGGTACTACATATACTATTATACTGTAACTTGTTTGCAGATGATATTCTGTCTCTTTTGCAACATCCATATTTCTCAACATTTGGATGTAAACTAGGACCTAGGAAGGGGTTTTTTCGGTTAGCAACCTTACCTGAATGGGAAAATGATTTAATTCTGGCACAATTAACACACAAAAACTTTACACTATACATAGGAGGATATTTCATTGTAAAAGACACAATTTTCAATTAAGGAAGATTTAAGTTATTAACAGTGAAATATTATTATTTTTGTGTAGAGGGAAAAGTTGTTTCTCCGAGAGTGGACTCTTTTCTATTTAGGTTTGCTATACTATCAAAATCCATAGTTTCTACACACAATTCTTCCTGTGGTTTGGTTAAAACTGTAAATTCAACTTTTAAAGTACTCCCAAACAAGTGCCAGAGTTGATTTGTTTATAGCCTTAAACAAACAAGAGACAGACTGTTTGTCTAACACTGTACAAATGTTATTGCTGCATTCCTTTGTTGTTACAATAATTTTTAAAACTTTCTCAGAAATAACAAGCACAGTTTTTAAATCCATCAAATGTTTATTGAAATCATTTTTTGTTTAGTCTTTTTTCAGTTCAAATATGAGTGTGAACAAGACTCTTTCTTTGAGGTTCATTTTTGTTCGTTGTAAGTTGGTGTTTTTACAACTTTTTTTTCGATTAGTATAAAAAAAAAGGTTTTCACAACGTTTTAGGATCTGGAATCTGATTCCACCCTCAGGTAGGAGAGAAGCTAAACCATAACCAGATTAACACGCAGGATGGGCCAACAGCTCGTAAATTCTTTAAGACAGGAATGTATTTTGTGTAGGTGTGTATTTTAAGCTGAATATTAAGAGTGAGTTGTAAATGGAATGAGATGAAGTTTTGCTTTCTTACCTTGCTGTGATTTACCAGATGGAAAATCACAAAAGAAAAATCATACAACTGGAAGTTGTAAAAAAAGAAGCAAAACATCTTAGGAGGAAACATAACAGTGCAAACTAAGAGAAGGTGAACACAATGAACATGTCTACCCGAAATGGTGGTCAATTCAAGACTGTGTAAACTCCAATGAATAACAAGATGAGGTTAGAGACTAGAGAGTGCAAAGCAGATACTTACGAGTACCAGTTGGTGAGAGTCATCATGACGTATAAAGTGGCAAGTCCGAACATGGTGTGGAAGAAAGACCAAGAGTAAGCAACACCTTCGTCTTCATTGTCCCAGACCTTAGCATCCCCACCCCTCTCTCCACCATCACTTCCGGACTCTGGAAACAAAAAACTATTAAGAGTAACCACCCACGTACAAAGGCATACATGAAACTTGCAAAAAATCGTCTTTTAACCTTCAAATATACAAACAATAACAAAACACTTCGAACAGTTTTGTTCTCAAATGTTTTTTCGATGATCATAGTAAGTTAGGCATACCTTGTACTATTGTTTGGTTATTGGACTTACCAAATCTTAAGTTTGCTGAAACGATCCCAAATGAGGTTAATTCTGGCCTTGATACTATTCGTCATTGGACTGTATCAATTAATTATGCTTTGTCACAAAAAGGTTGACTTTGGATAGTAAGACCAGGATTTTACCACTCCCTTAAAACAAAACTATTGCAAAAATTCTAAATTGTACTTCAAATACACAATTATTTTACTATTTTTATCAGTGTGGAATACTACAAAGCTAAACAAAACATTGTTTTAACTAAAATTATTATTTTAAATATCATTTAAAGCAAAACTGATGTATAGCAAAAGTGGCAAAACCAATTTCAGTAAAGTATATTACAAAATGTGTTATCTAATGTTGAAAAACTTTTCTAATGCTCTTTGTTTTGTTAAAAAGCTTGTTCAGTCAATCAAATTTCAATTACAAAAAAAAAGTATTTAAACTACACTACAATCACCAAACCAGTTACAAATTCATTACTAAATCAATTGGAATCTCTACAGCCTAACTAAACTGATGGTAAATCCACAGTTATTACATGGCTGAGTTACAGAAAAAAATATAAAAAAAACAGCCTTACTGACACAGCAACTGCAAATTTCCTCTGATATACTAGGAACCTCACGGGCTTCTTTCATCTGTGGGAGTTTCTTTCCTGAAGAAATTATGTTGCAATTGATTTAAAAAGTCAAAATTCCAAAATATATTTGTGTACAACACTTATTTTGACATTGATGTTAAATACTTGATCTGGAATATAAAATACTAGTGTTAATAATCGAAGGTATAGCGAGATTTTGCACCATGAAATACCCTTTCATGCATTCTTTTTCACACAATGACATGACAATGGACTGCAAAATATTACAGGTTGATAATGATGAAATATGAATTTGTAGGTATATAAGTATATGATGAAAAAATATAGCGCAGTATTTATTCAAATTAAATTTATTAGAATTTATAAAAATAAATGTTTTCCACTAATGAAGGTAAAAACTTATTAGTGAACACTGTGTTTAGAATAATTTTACCTCTGTTTTTTTTTATGTTTAACAACGTTATATAAATGTTTTGTTATCACTGGGGTACTGGTTGATACCATTTGAAAATCTATTGCTTTCCCATAAAAAAAAAGATTTTTCAGATGTATAATCTTATAAAATGTAAATTAAGAAGGCAAAATGCAACTGGATCCGTTAACTTAGAAAAGGAACAAAATTTTACAGACAACTGTGAGACACAACGTTTTCTCATTTAACTTAGTCACTGATGTTCTAAAATTGAACAGAACAATGTTTAAAATATTAAAAATAAATCTACCCATTTACTATGTAATGTCAAAAATGTTTTTGTATGCTAAGCATTTTGAGGTTTTTAAACATTATTTATTCTTTAGACTTTAGAGTATAATTTTAATTTTTTTACAGCTAATTTTGACCAAGAAATTAAGGCTTACATTACAGGGGTTGTCTGTAAATCAGGGTCTACAATGATCTTTAGCCCTGCCTCGTCAAACAGCCTAGTTATAAATCTGACGTCTGAACTATGTTTTTTACTTCCTCCACTACTATTCCAGCTGATTCCCACCATTATGCGACAATAATTAGTGTCACGTTTCCCTAAAATCTTTCCAGCTAATATGACAAAACTGATTGCGACATACGAGTGTACCAACTAGAATGTTGGTGAGTTGTTGGCGCAGTCGGAAGCACCAAGGACTTCGGGCCCAAGGCAGCGATGCATGGATACATATCATTTAAATTCAATTCAAAACATCTTTATTCATTAGTATATATTGTATATACAAGAATGGTGCCTGCCGCTAGTTTTTATCACTTAGTTCACTCTTGTACTGTACCAGCTCACGCCTTGCTTTCCTGCATATGTTTCACGCACAGGCCTCTGCGGCTCATGTGGAAGGGCAAATGCAAGGTAAGAGACAGCCAACCTCTTTGTAAAAGAAGAAAAAGTTACTCTGGTGTCAGATTTAACCTAGCCTGGTTGGTGATTGGAGCTTGTGAGTAACATCAATTCACCAACAACCCTCGTATAGTTTATATGTAATACATGATTGATGAGTGATAAACTTAATATTGTTTTTATTTAATTGGCCGAATTGAAAGGTTTACAGATATATAAAATGTTTAAGGAGAGGGTTGGAATAATAACTGAGTACAACTAAGAATGAATGAGAATGAAAATAAAACTAAGTACAAATAAAAAATATAAATATTGTTATCCTTTTGGTGCCAAGATTGTGTCATCTGTCTACATGACTTGGATGACAAATTAACAAACAATAGTATTTATTTACTCAGGAGCAAACAAATGGGGGTAAAATATTTCTTATGAAAGGAATGTAAATAAACAAACGTAAACATTTATTGATTTAAATTTATTGACTAAAATACTTAAGTTAGTCAGGGAGATCAAACTGATTTGAATGAAGAAACTTTGAAAACGTTTGGCACTAAAAGGGTTTAAACGTACTTTGCTACCAAAGCTAGCCCAATTGTCAAGCCCCAAAGCAATATAAAGTCATACCTTCGTTGTCAATGAGCCCACCGCCATTGGAGCGAACTAAACAAAAAACAACAAATCATCAGAACCTCAGTAGAGGTTTGTGAGGCTAGCGTTAATATACAGCAGCAACTAAGACACACTATTAGGGTAACAGGGGTTTGGAACATTTATCCACTTGTTTGTAGACGCAATACTCTAGAATGTTGGTAAATTAAACAGTAGAAACATCTGATGTGATGTAGCATCAATCTCCTTACATAACAATAATGGAACCAAAAGTATGTTGATTTCAACTACCGTATTGAGTTGCCTGGTTAGTTTTTTTTACTAATCATAATGGAAACTGTAAGAAATCTTCTGTTAAACAACATTAACATAACACCATCAATAAACTTTAAAGGAAGAGTTAATTTGTAAAATAATAAAATATTATACTTTAGTATTTGGCAATTTAAACCCAAAGCTAAAGCCTTGAACAATCTTCTTTTACAAAAATGTTAGTGAAGAACCCATCTAATGAACGTTGCACTTAATTTGAAGCTAAAAAATAATTTTAAAATTTGACAGGTAAGGAAGGTTTTCATCAGAAACTATTAAAATTAGCAGTCTGCAGAGACTTTGAGCCGGGCTGAGCCAACAGGTGCTTGGCCTAAAACAATGTTTCAGGCCAAGCTTTCATTCTCACAATCAAAGAGTTTTTTTAGTAAAGATAGCGCAACAGAAAATTCTTCATTTAGGCATGACTGTAGGAGACGTTCACAATTTAACAGCGATCCTGTCGTTGGAGATAATGTACAATATGTTGAAAAGTGATTTTAGTATAATAGTAAGGGGTAAAAAAAATACTTTAAAAAATAATCCAATTTTGGCCTAAGACCAGAGGATCAACATGTTCTATTCAACCTCACCCAACAAAAAGGTAAAAAAGTGGCCTGCAGATCGATAATAACAATTGATAGACATGTATTTATACATTGTGGATGGATGGAATCTTATTTGAATATTATAAAACCAAGTTTGGCAATTCAGTACAGATTTGCTAATCCGGCCACTGATGGTTTAATTTTTATATTAAACTTATTTTTTATTTGTGGAATATTTTTGTTTGGTTTTTTAAATTTTTTGGAAAAAAGCTTTATTTTTGCGATCCAAAAATTAAGTAAATAAAGCAATATATTCTTAAGTTTTAAGGCCTACAAATATATTCGTATAGCCTACTGTTCTTTGTATTTAAAAAATTTTTAAACATGAATTTATTCTTGTCAAACGAAAGTTGAGTTGAGGAAAGAGGCAAGGGCCCACGAAATTAAGACCTTCTCTGACCTGGAAATAGTCCGGTCCAAATTAGTGCGGATAAGAGAGACTGTACTGTATTATTAAACTGTTGTTCAATTTGAAAATTTGACATTAAAGACAGACTGTAATGCAAAGGCAAAAAGTCCTTTGTGATTAAAGTGTTAATAATAATTATTATAAATTATATTACAATAAATGGATCCAGTTGCCTGTTTGATAAAAAAAAACCCAGGTGGATGCTGTTCTTGATCATTGCGCTTTCAATAACTAGTCCTGACTAATGAAATAGCTGGTTTTAGTCAGAAACAAGGCTACAAAGTCCATCACACTCCATTCTACACTCATCCTTCATATTTGTGTTAAAATACACACATAGATGGCGTACCCATCTCAAATGAAGATGAATACACAAATAGCTAATGGTGGGGGGGGGGGGGGGGGCACAAACCGTAATCTTAACAGCAAGGGGGGTTTTTACAATTTTTCTTAAGAATTATTAGGACCGTAACATAATAGATTTTAAAAAAGGTTGAGGCGTTCTTTTGTAAATTGGATTTTTCTGTTATTTATGGGTTCGAAAGAAAAATCTACATTTCATCTACATCTACATGTTTATCTAAGAATTGATAAACACCTGGAGATACCATGGATTAGTAGGCCTACCTACATACCAAATTTTATTAATATTAGTATCAGACCACGTGTGTGGTCTATTTATAGCTCTGTACACATCCACACATATAGACAGACACACATACACACTTTGAATTATTATTATATTATATTATTATATTCGTAGAGCATATTTGTAAAGATTTTGCAATAGAAAACTCACACTTTTACCGCAATCAAGAAGGACGACAATATTGTATTGTAATAATGATGATTTTCCGTGACTGCAGGAAATGATGATGTGTAGACAACCGCGGAAGATATTCAATATTTTTGCGATCACAAAAGACAATAATTAATGACTGCAAGAGATATTTAAGATCTGTTCGCAGTCATGAAAGACGATGACCATGTCCAACCGCGGGAGATGTTAAGGATTTTTTCAGATCATAGCTTCCGCCTTCTTTAATAACAATTCTTTGTTATTTTGTTGTTTATCTTATCTATAGATTATGAAAACTCTTCCTGTAAGCAATTGGGATTCAGAAAGTTGTAGTTCAGCTAATCAGAGTTATACCAATGAATACAAACAAAGCTAAATGCTCATAGGGAAGAGTCAGACTGGAAAACTCTTTACCTTTAATTTATAGTAAATACCATGTTACTTTCCAGATTTGTTCTGTGTTTTCAAAGAAATAATTAGGTATTTTAATTATCAGGTATCATCAGGTATAAACCAAACTAGATGAACACAGATAAATAGGAATATTGAAAACATATAAAAATGTGTCTATTTAACAAGAAAAGATATAGTGCAGTCATCAGAACAGAAACCAAGACGATGCTAAAGCCTATGGCTAAGATTTTTCGACAAATCTTATTAGAATTTAAATTAATTTTTTTTCAGTGTGCAAAACGCATGCATGTAGACAGCCTACAAAACTCCAAACAAACTAGTACAACTACAAGTTTTGTTACATGTTATCTACATTGGATGGTATTAATTTAACTTTGAAACGAAGCATGTGCTATGGCAGCGTGAACAAACATGATTTAACAAAAAAATTTCAGATGAATTTTTAACAAACTTTTACATTAACGATTCAATGGATTTAAGATTTGTCTTTGACAGATCACAAGTAGACATATCATATCATACAACATATCTGTACAGAACATATCATACAAAATAATAAATCCAATACACCTTAAAGGAATTAAGTATCATTCCAATAGAAACCCCATAGCGTTAGAAAACTGGCCACGTCCTACTTACCAGCTCCATTGTCCTTGACCAGAACGTGATCTGACATGGTGATCTTGGAGGACTTGGAAGCTGTACGGAGAGATGAGTAGAGCACGCAGCACATCCAAATAGTCAATCCCACGATGCTCTCCGAGTCAAACCTAACCTTGGTCTTATCCTTGCCACCACCGATACCCAGTAGAAATCCAGGGTTGCAGTTCTGGTCTGCAAATGAAGTATGATATTGTATTTGTGACACAACAAAAGTTGTTATTTCACGGACATGAGCTAAGGAGCATTTTAATTCCAAGTTGAATGGATCAAATGGTCATGTTTAAACTACTACGTTTTAACACAACGTTTGGGGGGGAGGTAAGAAACTCCCGTTTTACAGTGACCCTAATTAACCTATCAAACCTAACATAACTGGTGTAATGTAATCAAGGTCAATTACAATAAAGCCTCCAATACCACATGAAATAAAAAAGAAAATTGAAATTAAAAATTATTTATAAAATAACATAGGTATTGAAATGTTATTTGGTAAATTATTTTATTTATCAAAAAAGCATCGTAAGGTCCAGTACTTTTAATAATCTGGTCTTAAGGTAAAACAAACCAGCAGACTAAGGCCCTGTACACATGAGGGCGGCAGCCACCGCGGTTGCTATTTCGCGGGAACCGCGGCGGTTGAAAGTACAAAGGAGCAAATGGGACCGTTCACATGCAACCGCCCACTTCCAGTCAACCGCAACTAACCGCGGCGGTCGTAGATTTCCCTTCGACCGCCGCGGCTCCCGTGCGGTTGAAGTTACTAGAGTTGGCATGAGAACGTACACATGAGGGCGGTAGACGCCGCGGTTGACTGCAGTTGCTACTATATAGGATCACAGACATCTGCACGTTTGCCCTGTGGACATCGCTCTCTGTGTTGGTGAAGTGTGTAGCTGTGGCTGGAGTTGATGTAGTGCTCGTAGTGTAAGTTTAAATGGCCATGCGTGCTGCTGTGGAACCAGAAAACTTTGACACTGATCTGTTCATTACAGAAGTACAAAAAGAAGATACGTCTAGGAAATAAACTAAAAAAGATTGCGTAGCAAGAGTTAGTTGAGTTTTTTGCTGAAAAGATTTGTCAAGTGTTGCACGTTTAAAAGAAAAATAATTGGGTAAATACAGTACTGGCTGTCGAGCAACGGTCAATTCACACCGCAACCGCAGCGTAACCGCGGCTTCAGCCGCTGCCATGTGCACGGTCCTAGGCGGCCGCCGCTGCGGCCACCGCGGCGGCTGCCGCCCTCATGTGTACAGGGCCTAAGATAGTTTCCATTTACCAAGCTGGATTTGCACTAAGTTGAATATTTTTGAATGCTTTTTTAGGCCATACTACCACTTTTGTCCAAGTCACTGGCGATCTTCCGACTTGGGAGCAATCGATAGAGTCATGCGAGATCGGCAAACATCAGTTGCATCCAACTGAATTTGGGGGCTTTTGGTTTATATTTTTTTTTCTTTTAGCCTTTTATATTCCAATTTTCTTTATACTGTCCAAAATTAGCAGCAGTATTTTTTCAATGGCCGTTTCTAGAAGGCGTTCCACTGTACAATAATAATACAATAGTAACAAATACAATACAATGTACAATAGTAATCCACTGCCAAACCCCGACCATGCCAGATTGGCATAAGTGACTACTATATGTTGTAAGCAGCATAAACTGTTGTAGCCTAGCCTAAACTATGATTTTACCTGGGTTGCTCGCCAGGGAGGACCAAGTAAGGTAGATGACATAGAGAGTGATGACGGACGACTGGAGCAATCCAGACCTGGGCTGCTCATCTTGCACTGCGGGCAAGATAGAGATGGCGCTGGCGATCACACAGATCACAATGTTCAATGAGATTAGGATCTTGTTCATGGTGCAGTCATTGGCCTACAGATAAAACTAATGTAAAAATATGAATCAAATTTAGCACAAGAAGCCGAGCTAAATAAGTCATTGTGTTGTGCAATCTGTCCGGAACACTGCACTTTTATGTTTAAGATCTTCACTGGTCAAAAGTCAAAACTTGGTCATAATGAATGAGTAATTTTACATAAGTGTTACATAGATGTCCGTATGCAATTTTGCACAAGCAGGTAATTGTACAATTGTAGGTGTCAATACAAAATTCATAAAATTTTCACATAAAAAAATTGAATAGAAAATATGAACTGACATGAGCTACCTATTTTTATAAACGTGTTAATCTATTAGGTTAGGAATATTTTCACATTTCCTGAAGTATTTTTAAAATTACCTGAGTGAAGTAGACAAAAAGAAGAACGACTCCGGTTATTGCCAAAGCGTAGTTGACAATCATTGAGATCATGAGCGCAGCATACCTGCAATAAAGATTATTAAGTTAATAAAACCCAAATAAGGTCCTTTAAATATTATTAGAAATTTCCGATCCTTATAGAGACATATATTTTTTAAGAGTAAGACCTTTGGTTCAAATCAGTGGATACCAACCTTTTACCCCTTCTATAAAATCCAGTACAGACCAGTACAGATGAAAAAAAACTAGGCTCTACATAAAAATCACAATAGGTGATTATAGCGAGTTTTTACTATCACACTAAGATAGCTGTGGTAACACTAACCATTTTCTAGATTCAGTCTCTTCGTAGTTGGATACCCAGGCTTCGGCCCAAGAGTGGGCAAAATCTATGATCAGCACCAACTGAATGATGATGAAAGCGAATCCACCGGCCATCCCAAAGTACATCCAAGTTGTAGTGAAAGATCCTTCGGGAATGAAGAACGCTCCGATAGTGCCGGCAATGACAAGCAAATACTTGAGACCCCAGAATCTGTGAACATAATTTTAAGGGTTTTTATATCGGCCTATATGGAACAACTACACAGATAATATTTACTAATATGAGGTACATACCTTTACGGTACGTCAACAGTTCAATTGTAGTAAGTAGAACTCACAATATGTTTCCCCTATTGTCTTATTGTACTTTGTCTTCATCCATGATGAAATGACTTAGGCCCATTTAAATGTTGCTTAAACTAAAGCACTCTTCTAAGTATTTTGGGGTATGTTATTTGCCTTAGGGTGGGGGGGGGGGGGGGGGGAGAAATTTTTCTCATCCAAAAGAAGTCACTTAGAATTATTAGCTGGAGCTTGCTTCAAACATATATTGTAGGCTATTTTAGAAAAAGTATATTAGTAAAACTTTTGATTCAGATAACAAATTTAGGCTCATTAAAAACTTTTATAATTATGGAAGTTTACACTTAGGCTTAAACATGTTTCACTGACATAAAATATAGGCCCATAGGCCTAAATATAAAAAACACAGCATTTTAAATCCTTACCCGTTTTGTATACCAGCACGATGATCTCTGGATGACTTAACTCCAATCATCATCAGTGCCATGAGGAAGAAGAACGCAGCGAGAGCAAAGCAGAGGCGGTAGACAGCTAGGTACCCCACAGCCCATTGACAGTCAATCGTCATATTGTTGCCAATAGTCAAATCTTTTATCTGACTCATGATTGTCTTTTCAGCGGAGGAATTGTCGAACCGACAAAATGGAACCTAAAGAAAGGAATCACTTGTTGTACAGTAGGCTAAACAGAAGTAAGTTTAGTGTAAGAATTAGTTTACAAAACCACTGTAGAGCATAAAGTTCTTAGACCGAAAATGTTCTTTGTTAGTCAATGGCGTTATTTCATGTTAAACATTCCTTCAACACAACAATAACCTTCAAATTAGAAATCACAATCAGCTGTATTGAAGTAAACAAAAATCAGCAGTAGGCCTATATGGCTTCTAATGCTATTTTGTGTTAAAATTTGTGGAATTTCGGTAATTTTCCCACCGTCACGGAATTGAGACCTTTAATTTGAGCCCCCTCCCTTTGTTCTACGACTTCCCAGTCGCCCACAATTTTGACGCAAAGAATCGGCTTAAGTAAATAAAATATAGATTCTTCGAACCGGTAAATGTGAATTGGTTTATTTTTCTCACGATAAATCAAACTCTTGATGGTTCACAACTCTTGAAGATAGTTCAAATTGGCCCACCAATTTCAAATTATTAAAAGTTTATTGTGTAGGTAACTTACCTTTTGTAGAGTGGTTTGAAGTCCAGGTGCCAGGAAGATGCATGCAGTAATGGTGCCGACGAGCAACATAACAGCGTACATGATCCTGGTTGACGTAGAATTGCGACAGGACGGACATGCTGAGCAAAAGAGGCCGCACGCTGCACTACCACAGCAGCATGCCAGCTATGGACAAAATCACAAATAATGTTTTAATACCCATTAGTGGAAAATGTAACGCAATGGAACTTTGATAATAAGTCTTATTTACTTAAAAACTTAATCCCCATTAGAGTCTGTTACCGAGGTTCTACTATAGCCTGTACAATTGTTGCCTATAAAATTCTAACCTCCAGTTAGCCAAATACAAAGCTAAGTTACAACCAGGTCTAAAAAATATGGATTATGTTTAAAGCCTACCAAAGGGGGGAAAATATATAACCTAGCCTATAAGACTGTTTAAGTAGGCTAGGTACTGTAACTTAACTTAGGCCTAATTGATACAAGTAAAATCGTCTTTTTAACCCTTGAGCTAGGTAGGCGACTTCACTGAGTTTCCATCCAGGTGCATAGCCTATGTGTTTCGGTAACAAAATATGTTTTTGCCAGTCGACATAGAAGTCACTAATTTCTATCTTCAAATGCTCCCCCATCAAGTTAACTTAAGTTACACCCAATCTAAATAAGGGTTGCGTAACACGGACTCCAGTGTACCACCCCTAGTGCAAGCAGTTCACTTACAAGTCATTACATTATTGTTTTCTGTTACCGGTATTACATTATTCGCAGTAGGCCCTTGGCACTTACTTTTACAGTGTACCTGGGTTTCGCCTTTAAGTGTTTAGTTTGTATTTAAGTTACCGTGACTCATTAATCTAAGCATTTTATTTAGGCCTATATTTACAATTGGCTTAAGTTATAAGACCCAAGACATTTATTCGTCACTTTTACATGTGTTGGGTAACTGGAAACATATTCTATAAATTAGGACTATGATACAGGCCTATGCTCTGTTTGTCTATGGTTTCATAGGGAAAAATTTCCTGTGTGTCATCAGGCTTTTCTAAATACTGAGATTACAGCACATTGATGAGTTACATTTCTTTGTTGCTATACATGATATAAACACCAAAAGACAAATTAAAGGCTAAGTAGGCCTACATGGATTTATAGCTAACTAAACTAATTATTTGTAAAGAATATCCTAGCTTACCTGCGAAGCTGTACAAAGAGCTAATACAGCTCCCATTATATAGATTTATGTTTATTTATTTGTAGGTCGAAATTAAATAACAATAGGCCTACTTCAATAAGTTTTTCTCAAAGGTTACAGATTATCGGTGGCTAATCTGGAACTGCGTTAATCTATTCGTAACGTAAACACCACAATATTTACGTAATTTATGATTTCAAGTTTCACATCTGCATCTGACACATTTTGACAAGACAAAGACAAAGCAAAGATTTCACTGATTTCAGGTTCTGGAGGACGTTCTGGTTTCTGTCCTGTCTGTCTGTTTCTCTGTTGCTGTTGTTTGTAGAGGAGAGCACAAGTTCACATGTACAGAAACCTTATACTGACGTCATAAATATCGAATGTATATATCGATTGTACCGGGTGGTTACGGGTTTTTCTTCGGAATGTAAGTATCGGTTGCACCGAATAAGTAAAGGGTTTTTTTTTGTAACACTTTATTTGACGAATTGAATACTCTCGGTAGTTTATCCATTATAAATCAAATAGTAGAAATACAATAATATTCGTTACAGGCTGGGAATAAAATAATTACTGATACTTTGGATTGAACATCCAAAATGTTTGCAATTGTTTTCGTATTTACCTGACTTATAAAATAAAAAACTTGAGTTCACAGGACGTTGAATACTAAGAATTTATTTCATAGCATCCACAATAATACAATAACTGTAATTAAAGTAGACGAATTACAGGAATTATTATCGATTCTAGAAGAGAGTGAAATAATAATTGTAACTTTGACATGTTAATGTTTGGGAATGATTTACTAACAGATATTGCCCATCAGTGTAAGGTGACAATTTAAGAAGCCCAAGAGGACTGTTTTAGATATATTATTTTATGGAATTTACAGTCACGTAAAATAGGTCAATGGTCAATGGTTTAGGTTTACAGAAAAAAGTAGAGCTTTTTTCTCATTTTCCCCTTTGGTACATCTTAATAAAACACCATAAGTTTTACCCAATTATATTATTCTGGCTCCATTTAATTCACAATAACGTTATACTTACTAAGCCTTATCTTGTTATTTATAAATGAAAGTACTGGGACATAATATAAATAAAGAAACATTAAGTAGTAGTAATCCGATTAATTTGTAGGATAGTTTATTACTTTTTGATCGTACCACATTCTATATTATTCAACTCGAGCCTACGCACAGGCCACTAGTGCCCATATAGTCTCGTTTCCCATCAAATTTATTTTTACGTTAAGGAACCATTTTAATTTTATTTTATTAATTATGTTAAACATGAATTCAATGTAATAAATCAAATTTTTCTCATTTTAGTTATATACCATAAGTCCTTTCACTTGTAACATTACTCAATTACTTTTATATATATATGTATATTATGCTTCATATATAATTGCTTTCTTGCATTATTTGTTATTTTTGTATTTTGGTGGAAATAAACCTTGATTAGATTAGAGTGCATAAATTGATCAGTTCAATTTAAAAATGTTTTTAAAGTTTGAGTTTTGAAAATTGGAAAAAACAATTGAAATTTGAATTAATTTTATATAATAGGGTCTAAATATTTAAATTTATCAGGATAAAAATGTTCAATTGTAGATAACTGAACAAAAGCATAACAATACACTATAACGTTACCTAAACTAACTCAATTAATGCTTTTTTATACATTAACTTACAAATATTATAAAATACTAAACGTAATTTAGATTTAACTAATTAGATACTTAAAATTATTAAATCTTTTTACGATCTGGGGAAACGTCGATTATAAAATATCAACCAATGCAAGTTTAAGAATCTTAAAAAAAAGAAATCTTGAATTAAAATATCGAGTGTATTAATTTATATATTTGATTTACTATTACTAGTTGCAATTAGTTATACAAAGGGTTGCATCACCAAATTCTTCAGAGTCTGATATTTTCCTCTTTATTATTTGTGATATTTTCTGAAAAGAACTAGTCTATTAACATGGTCACCGGGCACAGCAAAGTGAATAAGTGACGATGTAAAGCCGTGTCCCTTCGGCCTTCGATAATCGATTGCATAAACCATCACGATTCCGATAGCTGAAAAGTAGTCGATAGTCATGTGACGTCATTATAAGGTTTCTGTACATGTGAAGAAGTGGCCTCCGTTTGGGAGATGTAGTTTCGATTCGATTCGATGTCTCTAGTCTCTGCCAATATCCAGTTCTTGCCAGGTTTACGGGACGCTCCTTGACGTCAGACGTGGTCAGACTCAGACTTCAGGGGCCCTATTTTTGAAATGGTTGACTGTTGAGTCAATCGTCAGCACTCAACTCAACCAACAACATGATTTGGTATTTTTGAAACCCAACAGTTGGGAAGCGAGTTGGGAATCGCTAGTTGAGAGACTCGTGGTGGAAATGTAGAGCATACGACCGTCAAAAATTCAGATGACGTCATTTTGAACCAATCACAATGCAGAGTTCTTGTGGACTTCAATTTAACCTCTTCTTACTCTAAAATCTGGCAGCTAATCTCAATCTGCCATATTTCGAGACACTGAGGTAAACTGTCAACTCCGTTCTTGAGAGATTGAGATTGAGGTTATGTCTTGCTTAATCTTAGTGATTGCAAAGTACCTTAACTTAAGTAATAAACTAAAGTAAACTAAATAAAGTAATAAACTTAAGTATAAAAAATAAAATTTACTATGGATGTTTGTTTTAGGGTGTAGCTAATTATAAGTTTAGGCATAGGCTGCACTTTACTTTAGGTCCTACACTCATCCTAAATACATTATTATTTGCTTTCTTCGTCTCTATTTCGGAACACATCACCTTATTTTAGTTTCCTTCATCGGTTTGTTTTATGTTATTTTTAATTGTTTTTTATTTAGGTTAAAGCGGCTATTTGCCATTGCACTGAAAGCATATCGTAACTTAAATTAATTTGATCCCTTTATTAGGTGAATGGTATTGAAACAAACTATGATATTGTTTCTCTCTACCACAATCTGTAATACCTTGAATCATAGGTCTAATAACAATAATTATCTTATAATAAGTTCAATTAGTATGCCTAGTCTATTTCAAACATTCCAACAAGAATAAAACCCTTGATTAAATAGTCTAGTATTGACACAGTAAATAAAATTAAAATGCGATTATTCTACAGAAAACAAACGCATAATTGGGTGCTAATACATTGACAACAAATACATAACCTCTAAATCGCAATTAGTAAATTAAAGCAGTAACAAAACAATATGGCGTCGTCTCAAAAAGAGTAATTTTTTGCCGAAAGAGAGGAAGAAGAAAGTGCAGTCAACCTCCACTCAACAGCTCGATAGGTGTTGAGTAGTTTTGGTTGTATAAGTCCACCGTCAACCGTTTCAAAAATACGAAACGATTGGAAATAGAATGACTCGACACTCAACTCAACAGTCAACCATTTCAAAAATAGGGCCCCAGAGGAACGATTTCAAGACGTTTATGGGTTTACGTAGTTAAAGGTGGCCGTGCATTTACACTTTCCAGTTCCATTCATTGTTCATTTTATTTTAGGAATGTTTTCCGCCATTCTAGCTGTACGAAAAACGTTCGGTTGGTCGTCCGTGCGAGCGAACCCGTCGCATCAACAATTTCAAACGCATGTGGATAAGCATGAGAGCGTCCTAGCTGGCCGAGGGCGACCGACGATGTGATCGTGCGGATCGTCAGACCGACTACTGCAATTGAAGAGTAAAGAAGATGTCCGAGCTTATTTAATATCTAAGTGCGGTGCAAAAACACCCAAGGTTTGTCACATCATTTTTTTCATCCGTTCTTCAACAGAAATTTCCGCATGATGTTTATTGTAGTCTTCAATGTAAAGTCCTTCTTCAATTCGGTTCGGTGATGATGTAGTCAAATGTATCCACTGACTCCTAGTAAAGTTTATAGTTTAGTTAGTTTATAGTGTAGTTAAGGATATAATCTTAACTTTATGTACAAATGATTAAACTCGACAAATTCATACCTGTTAAAAAAATCTCATTTAGCACTCCTACGTTCCAACGATTTCTTATTAAGGTAAGCATAGATTATAGAAGAACTGTCCATCAGCATCAGCCCAAGTTTACGTCTTGGACACTCAATTCGGTCGTCAGACTAGATTCGGACCCACGGACGACCGACCGATTTTTCGTCACTCAGCTAGGACGCCGCCTTTTCCATTCAATAGCACTCATTTTGAATAAAAAAATGGCAACAACTGGACCATGGATGGGATGTTTTGCTTCAGTAACCAAAAGTCAATAATAATAGTTAAATCATATTACTTTTCATACAGTTAACTGACAAAAGGGCTTCCTTGCACTGATTATAGCACACAAAGTAGCTAAGTTGTTGCTTTTGCCACACTCCATTATTCCAACCAAACAAAACAAAAACAGCTTATCCGATCCGAATTCCGAAATCACTAACCAGAACCACTTTCCACTAAAGTTGTCTGGGATTCGTCATAGATCCAAAGATTACTTGAAGTGGCCATGTGGACAGTGTATAATTGTGACGGGTGGCGTCGTCCTGTAATCCAACTACTATATAGGAGGTCACGAATTGTGGATATTTATAGGCATGCACTGTGGATGCCTGTCGATACTCCCTGGTGTGCATTAACGTCCGCACGAGTGAGTACTAAGACTACCCGCAGTGCTATCCTGATAATTAGACCAATTCGTATATACCAAGGAAAAGAAATGTGGTTCGGATTCCACTATAAACTGTAGGTCCCTTAGTCGCCATTAGCTAACAGCTGTGTTTAAGTTTAAGGAATGTCGGCCTTAGTCACTAACAAGACTACAAGATCGCGCCACTCCTCCTATACACTTATCTCAAATCATACTTGGCTTAAAATACCTACAGCTTATGGTCGCCATTTCATAAAAAAAGTACTTAAAGTATTTTACTTTTGATCTAAATATATAAAAGGCAAAGCCCTCACTGACTGACTGACTGACTCACTCACTCATCACTAATTCTCCCACTTCCCATTTACCTAGGTGGCTGAAATTCGGCACACCGATTCTTTGGGCATTAAATAGGAAAACTAAGTAGTTTTTATTCTGATCGGGCTTTCAAGCTCCGCCCCAGTGGCTCTGGAGTTTCCTATGTTAACCTTATGATTTTTCATATTTAAAAGGAATTAATGAATCTTAACAGCTGTTTCAATTAAACAAGTTGGATCTGTTCTATGATGTTCAATAGCATTAAATTTACAAGGATTACCAACAGGGTGCAACACTATTATTTTTT